TGAATAATGATAAAGTTTAAATGTTACAATTTCCAACCAATATAAAAGTTAAAAAGAACTTAGTTTTCCGAGTGTGTACTATTATTTTTTATAATGATCGAAAAAAAAATTGTTCTTTAAAATCTCTTTAACATTCAGCTCGTCTGTCTAACATTGTTTTATTTTATTTATTTATTATTATCAATTACGAATTACAAAGGGCAATGTCAATCGGTTTTCTCGACTAGTCAACCCGGGGCAATGTTTTTTCTCTTTTGAGCTTTCCGTTTATTTAAGAATATAATTATCGCCTCCCAGAGAGATACTATGAAAACTAAATGGTAATACACGTAGGTATTATTAAACAAGAATTTCGTACCTCGTGCATTTTGTATATAAATTGGTTCAAAGAAAGAGCATTGTAGCGTGTTATGAAAGTTTATTTCATATTTGCTTTGTTCAACTACTTGTGCTTACCTTAGGGGTTTTGAAAATTGAATATGATTGAAACATTTTGAATTACTGTTGGAAGAATATTTTGAAGTTCAATACAATAAATGGATTGATCTATAAGTAAAAATTTATCTAAAGTGAAAGCGTTTGTGTTGTAACGTATTCTAACACTCGTTCAACTTCACATCTTCAGCCTAACTTGACGGCAATATTGTTTAATTATTATGATTATTAAAGGTCATATAACTTAACATAATAAACATATAACTTAACAAAATAATATAACATCATAAAAGTTAAGTTAATGTTATTGTATCATAACGCAGTGCGTTTATGCGCAGGTGAGGTACCTAAAATTCTGAAATTTTAGTACATTTTTTTAAACTACCGTAGACAGAAACGTTATAATAGCGAATAAAATTCTTTCTTCATGCAAATTTCATTATCTAGCGGTCGTTTAACTGCCGGTTTATCGTCAGATTTAATCTTGCGACAAAATGAAAAATTAAATATGAATTTTCTCTCGTGGTCGACCGGACTCTGCATTAAAATAAACGGTACCGATTTCACGACACATGTTTTAGATTAAATACCTAATAACATGTTAGATAAATATTTTATGTTCCTGTTCAGCAATCTGATAAGCAACGTGTTTCATTGGTTATAAAATTTGTATGAACTGATTAATTGTAGTAGCTAAATGTCTATCAGTTATCAAAAAAAATACCATCATTCTACCGGCAAAATGGCAGACAGTGAGAAATCAAGATAAAATTTTAATAAATAGAACTGTTTATTTAAATGTGGAATAGGTACAAATTAAAGAGTTTTTTTTTAGTTCGAGAATGTAAGTCAAATTTTAATGAGTCAAACCAACGCGAATATTGCGCTTTTAATAATAATATAAAACTTATTAACTTTGATAATAATAATATAAAACACTGCAAGTCATGCTGCGTGTGGACCATATTTTAAATATTAATGTATAAGTTAGCTATCTGGATGAACAATCACTGTTACCACATTGCAGGTCTAATGATCTCGAACTAATAGTAAAATTGTAACCTTCGGCTAGCTCCGATTCGAAATAGTTTTGAAATGCTCTTTATAACTTTAACAATCGCTTTACAAAATTTGCTCGTCTTATAAATGCCAGTGCCTGTCGATTGCATTGCCGCGTAGATCCGGATTGAGATCGACGCTCGATTAGTGCAACATTCATTTCTCACGCACTTTGATATAAGTTCAATAACAAAATAGTAGCGTTACTCTCTTGCACGAATGGGTAGGTCCGGCCGGGGTAGTACCACGACCTCACAAAAGTCTGGCGTGAAATGGCAGTGTTACACTTCTGCGTTTCGTCTGGCGAGTGAGGTAGCCGGGGCCCACATTATTAAAAGGTGAAAACGCATCTGCTATCCTACGGGTGTCTCAAATGTCCATGGACGTCGGTTATCACTTAAAAAAGTTAATGCTTTTCATTAACATATCATCAAACAATAAAACCAATATTCCAGCACACAAAGATACAGCTTGCACAAAATTTGCTTGTTATTTAAAGTGAACATCAGTTTCGGCTATTTTAAAGGCTGTATAACTGGTGAATGACTTCGGACTCGGCACTTAAAAAAAATCTGCAAGATATTCGTAAGGTATAAGTTTATTACTTATACCTTATTACTCGTATAAGTAATAATTATAACTCATTTAAACATCTTACGGCCGGTTTCAATATTCTATCTGCAGATTTGCTTACTGACGATAGGTATTTGACATTAGCTCCATAACACTCGTCAAAATTCTAATCTCCACTAACTAAATCTAAAAGGCGTTATTTTTGAAGTTTTACTTCTTTTGGCGCGTTTGGCAAAATTATGAGACTAGAATTTTTGATAATTTTTAATATTTATTAATTATTAATATTATTTTTTACGTTGCGCGCACGCACCGACCGACAATGGCTTTGATTATAATATAATTAAAGGACCCTAAATAAGCGACACGATCCTTGCTCTACAATGGCAACCAATAATAACTTTTTGACATTTACCAATAATTCCAAGTTATTTTAATAAACCGTTATCGATTCATTTATTTTTTTAGGTTCTGATAACTTAAAAAAATTAAAAATAAAATAAATAGTCTAATAAAATGTTGTTATCAAATTATACATGTGACCTCGTATTAACCCACCTTACGATTCCGATAACTTTTTTGAAAGTTACCAATTCATGCACCTTTAATTTCAATGACTAATATATTCGTATGGAAATAAATTGAATGAAGGTTAAATGGATAGTTTGCTAAATGTATCTAATTATGGGATTACTATAAGAATAGACTGGTGTCTCCAGTTTTAATTTATTTTAATGTATGTTTCTTACTCAACTGCGACACCATTGATAACAGTTATACGTATTGATATTATGACTTGGTTGGCGCGGTTGATAAGATTTAGATTTCAGCGTTGTGATCGTGAATTCGATTCCTATCTGGGGCAAGTAGTTTTATGACCTACAGATGTTCGTTATCTAAGTGTTTGTCCTTGTTCAATTTGTGTTTGTAAAACGGCTGAGATTGTCTGTGCGCAAAATTATACATTTTTTTTATGTGAAAAGTTGCCAAGCGAGCAGACGGTTCACCTGATGTTAAGTGAATACCGCCGCCCATGGACATCTGCTACACCCGAGGGTTCCAGATACGTTGACAACCTTTTGAAAATTGGCCTCCGGCCACCGCACTTACCAGACGAAACGTGAAAGTATTATACTTCCACTTCACGCCGGTCTTCTGTGAGGTAGTGGTACTTACCCGGACGAGCCAGCCCATTCGTGCAATAGCCGAGGCTGCTGCGTGTCCCTACCACCGTAAACATAATCAGCATAAAAACTAAACACACTAAACATAAATCGAGAGTGATAATATTTAAGAAAACAGAAAATAAAAGGGGAGAGAGAATACCGCCTTGATGAACAACAAAGTAGGAAGGTTTGAGAATCGCGACTTGCTCATTCCAAGAGTCCCGAAGAATTCCAAGAGGCATCGGCAGGAGAAGAATAAGAGATAATGTTGAGAATATGACGGTGTTTAGCCTGATTACACCCATTTGTAGCAATTTGTAGCAAAAGAAATATTCGCCGGTACTTTGAATTTATAATATTCGAACCGCAAGATCTCAACGCCTTATAGCTGTTCGACTCGAGTCCCCTAGCCATTCAAGATGTTAGAGGATGCTTCAACCTCACTTTCTTGATTGTGGCGAGAACATCATAAGGTTTTGTAGTCAAAGAATTAAATTTCTTGCCCTTATTTGAGCCGCATCCTTGCACAGTTATACAGCCTGGCTTTTCAAAGTGTACACATTTATTAAAATTAAATTCTCGACATAAATAATATTATATAAAAAAAATAATAAATATTTTAAATCACTCGTAAGTAATTAATTACATTCATTTGAACTTATCTCAAAAAGTGCGTGATTTATACGCAACTCATTTATTTTACGCGCGATCATTCATAACTAACACGCACATTCATAACGTACACAAGTTCGATTGTGTACGTGAACAGTAAAATTTAGGTATTTATGAATGACTACCACGTTGTCAACAAGTTCTGTTTTTTAGGGAATAGAATGGTAATTTTTTGAAATAAAAAAAACGATTATACTACCGAGTCTGAACCTCTGTGTAAATTTGGCCACCTTTAAAAAAGTCTCCCTGTATACAGCGTGTCGGTACCACCGCAACAATAAATGAACACACGTTTAACGCTACTTGTTAATAACCATAAAAAAATATGAACGTTACAAAAATCCATAGCTAATTTTTTTTTCAAACAAACTAATTAAGTAAAAAAGAAACAAAATTTGTAACATCCTACAAATACAACTGACTGATTCATACATTCAGAGACTTTTTCATTCGTTGCCAGTGTCGTATTACTAGCCTCTCCTTCTAACAGTATGTTTTGTCTCTTTTAAATTCATTCAACCCATTCATATGCTTTGTAACCTTTACAAATGAACTTTACGTTACAGTTTTATACGTAAGGTGTTCTAAAATTCTTTGTTTTGAAAAATTTAATAACTCGGAATATATTGATGTTTAAAGAATGTAAATGTTTAATACAATTTTAATAAGTTATCCTCTATATGTGTGTTCATTTATTGTCGCGTATGTAAAGACACGCTGTATACTAACAAACAGAAACAGAAGTGTAGAACCTAGGGCTTAAGATGCTTCTGGATGAAGAATAGATAAAGAGACAACCATGGAGAGATTTTCTCTCTGATCCCTGGAGCTGAATGTTGTCAGTGAGAGGAAGCCATGAAAGGATTTAATCAATCAACATGACAACGTGGTAGGCATACTCCAAACCCAAAGATTCAACAACCACATTTGTAGAAATTAAACAATATAATCCCCACAACACGTTTTTCCCCACTCACAACTTTTTACAAGAACTGTCATAATTGTCATTTATGAAGTTTTGATGACATGTTATGACCAATAATTTTAGTTACAATTTTTTTATTTTTACTCGTGTTTACTCAATTTTATCGAAAAATGTTAATACCTACCTGCGTTATAAAATTCTTTGAATTGGTACGTAATATAATTGATATAGCCATTACAAATATTTCCATTCATCAACGCGAGTAGGAAACTGATTACTGACCAAAGCAGGCGACGTAATTTTGAGGAATCACACATAACTGATGCTGACACGTCAGCATGGATAGCCCATGGTGACCTTTTCGCTTTTTGGGCACGGGCGAAAAATCTGTGCCATCCATGAACGTATGTTCCGAGATTCAGTGTACGATACATGAATGTAACCGTCCCGCGACACAGGAATTATTTTATAGTGCGCTGTATTATTAGAACAGAGAAGAGGAATATAAGCTTGAAATGTCTCAATCTCTTCTGGGCCTGAAGTACCCATCTTGATATCAAATGTATGCATTTCTTGTTTAAAGAACTTAGCACTGAACTAATCCTTAATACTTCGCAGATGCTAGCGATCGCATGCCTAACGTTACACCACTACAGCTACGATTTAACAGATATCCCGACGCTAATGCTGTGCTCGGGTACTTATGTGGGATACGTTGTCGTTCTCTCTGGAGAAATTGTCGGTGAGGATCATGTTTAATCTGTTGGAATATGCATTTAAAGTAGTTCTTTTATAACGGTTGAAAAATAGTCCAGTAATGGGTGGCTGTCGATTTATTGACTGTTTAAACATTTTCTTAAACGGATATTACTGATAATTTACTTTACAAATACAGTTGGAGTTTTAAATACTGTTAGGGAATCCCACTTACTTTTCTAGTTTTCTAGCTAATGACAAGTTAGATGAAAAATATAAAAAACATAAAAAAGATTCGATAATTTTTACAATCATAAGTTTGCCCATTTGTATTTTTAATGACAATACCAAAACCGTTTACAATGTGCCCAATTTTATCCCTTTAATTAAGTGGATACATAATATTCAAAAATATTTTCTTGGTATTTGTAGTTAATTATGTAAAGAATAATGACGGGTAAAGTTATAGTCTTATACTGTATCCATGATGCAGATTGATTGATGACACTTCCGCGTACTTAATGCAAGCATGGTATAATGCGTTAATTCCTCATCAGGACGTTGTATAAACAAGTGCTTATGGAATTGTGTTACTGTTACAACGTGCCTCGCATTAGAATATGCAAACGTATATATAATAACTCTGTATACCATCTTAGTAAGCATCCACTTTTTATCCATACGTCTAAATTATTTCATAACATTTTTTTTATTTACATCATTAAGTTATAGAGTCTTGAATAACTATAACATTATATAAAATTTTACGTTTTTATCCTCTAGGTATAAAATGCGTAATACAATTCTGAATACTACTGGGCTTAGTGTGTAGTTTGAGATCGTCCTGATATTATATTATATTATCAAAATTGTGATTAGTTGATATCGTAAAGCAACTGTACTCTTTATAATTTCCATGGGTTTTGAATGCGTGTTAGCATCTTTGGTTACTCCAGGGAGTTGTTTGACTATTTGGGTCATCTCGGACAAATCCATAAGGGACAAAAACAACAGAGCATCAACTGAAGAATAAAGTACATACTTATATTACATTAAGATATATCACATCACAGTCAATTATGAATACATTTATACTTTGATATTATTGTAATTTCGTGTGTTAGAATTTTACCCGTGTAACCGTTACCGTTTGCAATTCATCGAATAGAATACATTTGTTCTTAAATAAACGAGTCGCATTTATACTTTTCAGATATATTATTATATTGTATTTATTTAGGATTGTCTTGGCTCTATTTAAACAACGTATAGTATCTTTATTGGATTTTATAACATAAGATTGTAAAATCTAACAATAAATATCCATTTTTCGCCTATGAAATGATATTAAGAAAATATAAGTAATGTCATAAAACATTGTGTTTAACTTTCTAAGTTATTTAATTTGTTTGTATAACATTTCAAATACATCATTTAGTTATTTTACTGTGTGTTACTTTCACCATTTTCATTTACTGTGATAGGGCTACGCAGCGACTAAGGCTGTTACATTAATGGGCAAGCACTTTCGGGGATGTACCATGGCCTCGCAGATGACCGGCGTTTCGCGTTCGTCTGGTGCGTTCCTTTCGTCGGGTCCCACTTTTTTTTTAATGTTGGCAACGCATTTGCAACCCCTCAGGTGTTGCAGATTAACACGGGTATCGGTAATCAACTAACACGGGTGAACCGCCTGCTCGCATGCCAATTTTTCACAATACTTTTTTTTTAAATTACACAATCCGGGTTGTTTTATTGTCACTTTATAAAAGTGATGTAATTAATACGTTTTAGGGGAGATGATTTTCGCGCCGCTGGACCTAGTGCAGGACATGTATTTCGGTATACTCGGAGTCGGTCTGTACTCTGTGTGCGGTGGTCTGGTACTAGCCGCGAGGACCCACGACCCCTCCTATCCCAGAACCGGAGACCCGACTGCGGCCCTGGTCTCCGCGTCCCTAGCAATCGTCAACGCCCTCGTAATGCTATTCGATCTGAGCCTAGCTTACCTGGATTCAGAGGAATACGACGAAGAGGCGAGCATTTGATACGGGTACGTACATGAATACGAGATTGAATTATTATTAAATTAAAGTGTAAATGCGACTCTGCCGCCATTGGAAATTGTGACTTGTTGCTATAAGCACTCGTTCCACTTTCATGTGTCGGTCACCACTTCCGCGTTTTCGATTTGTATGCAAAACGGTTCCGCAGTTAAAATTCCACTTCCTCGATTGTACAAGTAACACCATGCCTCTATAGTACCTGATATCGTAGCGTCCATACTTAAGGCTATTCAAAAGCATGATGTAGGTATCTACTACGTCTATAGGATTTTTTACACGTGAGGAAAGTTATAATAAAATAAAACATATAAATATCTGTTTCCTACGTACTTAACGCAATAAAACTAAATGCATGAAATTTTCGGCACCTAATGTTAAACACTTGGGTGGTGCCAATGTACTTATAAAGTAGGCCTTGTGGACACCACTGTTTTTCTTGGAATAACTCTTCAAAGCTTCAATGGGGCCCCCATATATCCACACTTGCGAGCAGATTAAGTTCTGCAGCATATGCTGTAAGGAAAATAAGATGTCTGACTAATGTAAACACAGCTAGAATCATTATTTCCATAATGATTCTAGCTAGTAAAAAGTCACAGGGTATTTTGCTATGCAGCCTATGCTGAAACAATGTTTATTTTGCAAAAAAGGCCATAAGAGCAAATTACATTCTAAATTTGAATCCATCTTTGGGAGAGAAATTTAAAGAAATAATTATTTGAACCTTGTTCTCTCAATATATATATGTGAAAATTTAATGTATGTACATAGAAACATTCAGTATTCTTATTAAATTTATTTATAAGAATACTTATGTAAAGACTAGGAACAAACACAAGATTGTAACGCCAGTTACTAGACTCCATAGAGTCAGTCACTCGTTCATAAGACGGTGTATGCGCTCTACAACAAAATCCCAGTGAATGTGCAAAGCCTATCTATTAACAAGTTTAAGAAATTTATTAAAGAAAAACTTCTTAAAAAGGATTACTATAATATAAATGAATACATTAAGCTCTCTAAAAAAGTATGTACTGTATATCAGTGTAATTGTTTGAGAAAAAAAATGACTGAAAAAGAGGATCCCTACGGCTTTCTTCTCCGTTAGAGGAACCTCATTACGAAACGGTGGTAGATTTAAAAAATGACTATCGATAGATGAAATGTATATTTCTTATTTCGACGAAAAAATGATTTGATTTGATTTGAATTGGTTAGTATAATTAAATCATATATTAATAATTAATTACACAATCTTACATCACAATTGGTTCAATTAATTCAAAAAAGTATAAAACAATATTGCAAGTTGCACTATGAACAAAAGTATTTTTTTTAGTTTTTACTAAAACCCATTTAAAAAAAATATGTTAACATTTTATGTGCAGAGTAAGTTTACATAAGCGCAAGGAACCTATTTTAGGTATAATTGAAGTATTATGAAATAGTTAGGTCAGCAATGTTTCAAATAATCTTATTGTAATTATGGTAATTATATTAACATTCCTAAATTAGTGATATTTTCTAGTGTATTTTATTCGTGGCTGGGACGTACCACAAATATGTCGTTTTATAAATTACTTTTGTTTTATTAACTAAAATGGTCATCTGATTAAGAGAACAAATATATTTACTATGGTACGGTAATCGACAGGTATCGTTGCCACGCACATCAACTGAAATTACCGCAAGTAATAGAAAATAGATGCATTGTGTTTTGCACACGTAAAACTTATTACCAACTAGCTGTGCCCGCGACTTCCGCGCGAATTTAAAATAAATAAAATTACCCTAAGTTACTCCTTATTACATCAGCTATCTGCCAGTGAAGTACAGTCCCATAAAAATCGGTCCAGCCCTTTCAGAGATTACTAGGAACAAACAGACAGACAGACAAAAGTTGAAAAAAATGTTATTTTGATATATGTACCGTGTACATTCATAAGCATTTAGTAAAAAGAGATTATTTATCGGCACAGATAAACTTAAAAGGCGCTATTAATTTCTTTACCATGCCCAATACTTTAACTCTCATGCACCAGGCGCGCATAATAGCAAACAATCTTCCACGCGCAGGCGAGGTGGTTTCGGCGGCGGCGGATCCCTACATAGACGCGTGGTGGTCGGGCGCGGGCGCCGTGCTATTCGGCGCGTGCGGCGCCATGACTCTGTACTCCTGGTACGACGTGCCAAGATGCAACAGACGCACATACGCGCAGGTCAACGCGATATGCGCGCACGCGGCCGCCGCCATGCTCACCGTGGACTCCCTCCTCGCCCTGTGCTCGGCACACAAGGACGGCACCAGCGGCAGAACGAGAAGCCACAAGACCGCCAACGCGTGATAACGCTGACGCTTCGTTTTAAGATTAAAAACTTCAACACGGCCCAAAGTTGAACTGGTTATTTATTTAATCTCGCACCCGGAATAAATTTCACTCGGACAAACATCCAGATGCGAAACAACTATTATATATATACTTATGTGGGTCACACAAATAGTTGTGCCGTGTGGGAATCGAAGCCACGACGTCGATGCCAATACCTTGGCAACTGCGCCACGGAGTTATCAAAAATTAGAAGAATTAAAAGATAAGTACGATAAATTCAACAGTTCAGCGTCTAACCATCATTAAACTAGTTGACGGCTGAAAACGCATTCCGCAAGACAAAATTCAAGGCAAGCTCAGACGAATGCACGCCTTAATTACTACTAGAGTGCTTAGTAATATACATATACTTAAAATTAATAAAGTTTTGTTCATTACATTGAATAAAAAAAACCTTTTCTTGCAAGTGTAGAAAAACAGGTATTATTGAATGTATTTAAAAAAAAGCCTTATCAATGCTTGATAAAAATAATCTGACCGTTAAGGCAAATTACTTTTTAATTAAATTATTAATTTAAACTAGTAGACTTTTGGCATTGCATTTAGATTTTCAATTACTGTCAATTTTTTAGTTATTCTTCGTCATAATAGAGAGACATCACAATAATGAACTAAGAATTCTTTTTGGACTTTAATGAAATTTTAAATGGAGAGTGCACGCGCTATGTTAATACGTTATTAGGATTTTTATATATTTTTTACATATAGACTCTGCTGTAATCTCCTGTCTGGTAACACTGATGGACTAAATACATTAAAATTCTAATAATATTTCCATATTCAAATGTATGCCTGGAAGCTGCTCGTGCCGTCAATGTTGAATGTTGGAATCAGTTCAAAAATCTTAAGAATCAGACGAAAGTTGCCCAAAGTGCACGAATTTTTACAAAAGAATTTTTACATGTTTTATTTTTTTATTATTAAATTTTATAATGTGTCCGCGGTTTCATATACAGCCAAACAATAGATGACTCAAATCACTCTAATCCTTCGGCGATAAGGAGACCTGAGCTGTCTGACTACGGTATGCTGGATAATCAATCGAGCACAACACCATATTCATAACATATAATACCATAGAAATATACCATGTCTTTTAGAAAACATGAATACTGTAATATCATTTACTAATAATGGCCGGCCGATGTGCCGGGGCAATTGTTGGTAAATTGTATAAAAGTTAATTTACAACAAAAGTTCTTTACCATAATATTAAATACAAAACATAACAATAACAATGTTTATTACTTGCTTCATTATTGTTCTGTACGTATCGTTGCCTGCAGTGGCGGATTTGTAGTCTTGGCCGCCCTAGGCCCCAGCCCAGTAGTAGGTTCCAGGCGCCCCTTTCTCAGAGCCCATCATATATCTTGTTATCATCAGTGAATTTTTTGTAAGGATTGGCCGGCCCTAATACGTGGCCGCCCGGGCCTTAGGGCAAATCCGCCACTGGTTGCCTGAGCACTCGTAGTTTTATCTAGTGCGTTGGTGAATTTAATCATAATTTCATAAATTGAATCGGTTCATGACAAGATTATTTCGTTAAAGCAATCTTTGATTTATTGTTGAAAATATCAAGTTTGTTCGCATTAGTCGATGTTATTCAATAAAATGTAGCTTATTTGTTGGCTTCTTTTAACTCTAATCTAAGACAGAAACAGACTAAACAGAGAGAGTTGATGTCCATGTTTCAAAATATAATTCTGAATTTATTTTGCCAAGTCGTTTTGATATTATTTTTATGCATTTAAAATTGACAGAATTTTTGGAATAACTCAAACAAGGAACATATTCGTGTATTTTTCAGCGCCCTCTATCAATACATAGGAAAACGACTGAGCACTACTAAACTCGGTTGTGATTGTGAGTTTCTTTATATTTGAAAACATTCAACAGATGGCATTAAACATAAATATGAAAAAGAACTCAATTCATTTCATTTAATTTTTTCGTTAATTTCACTTAAATTACTCATATTTTTACAAAGTGACAGAGATTTTTTGTCCGAAAATTTTTATTCAGAACCATTTATTATAAATAAGTCTTGTATTTTCATTATATAATACATTATATTATTATAATTGCAGTCCTCTTTTATGTAAAATATTCAATAGATGTCGTATCCCTGCAACTTCAGATGTGTTTATTAAAAGTGAGTAACTTTGTGATTGGTAAACTTTTGAAATTAACTTGTGTTTGTAAACAGGGGCATCATTAGCGTCTGCATACAAGCTCGTAAATTGGTCTAGAGGTATCTTACTTGACTGGTCTATTGAGCCTGCACGCCGACTAAGGTCAAATCTTTTAGTGTAAATTATCGTAGATTAATTTTAAATTTTATAAATTTTCTTCAAGACTTACAACGATAATCATTAATAGAAACAATACATGTAATGTTTATGTATAACACATTTCATTTGTTTGGTCTTTAGAACATAGGGACAGTAGGTACTTAGCCAATGACGACTGTAAGCTTAGTAGAAACAAATGAAGAACATCATGCTTTTATTGAGTATTTTATTACTCAAACAAACAAAGAAACGCTTCATATATGTGGAGAGTATTTACTGAGCATTATTTCTTCGGCTTGTGAAAATTATCCTTTAATTTTTTCATATATAAGTCAGACTCAAGTTTTAATTCCTACCTTGTTAGCAAAAGCTTCTGCTGTGCACGAATGGGAAGACCTATCCTGGGAGAAACTACGGCCTCAATCAAGACCTTTACAAAAAATTAAAATTTTACCTACCTAAGACTATTTTTTACAAGGACCTTTTATTTGAGACTTATTTTTTACAAAGAAATAGTAATTATCGATATCTGGAATCCGAAAAGGCGTAACAAAATGCGCGAAAGTAAAACAGCCAATCGATAATACTAGAATATCCAGTTTATTTGCGTTCATTGCAGAACTCGCCTTTTATTTACTTTATGTAAAACATTAAGAATAACACGACCAACTAACATAATTATGTAGACATTTTCTACGTATTTCAAAAAATTAAATTGCGTCATAAATATGATTAGTTCCTTAATTAACACGAGTACTACAACTATTGTTTACAAGTCCACGCATTTCTTCAAGCATGGTGAGTAATACGAAACGTCATCGTTATATTAAGAACACCAATATACATAACTCGTAGGTATGTAGTTGGCGTTACGCTATAGCTATAGTGTATTAAAAACTGCGATTATCTACACATTGTAATGCGATTTATCGCCTTGTAATAAAGTTTTCCAAATTAGTATGACAGCAAATATTGCATTTATTCGCAAATTTCTATAATTATTTTTTCGTTCAACAGCAAACATCAAAGTTGTAACCGCAAATGCGAGTACCTACTATAATAATTTACATGTATTTTAAATGATAAGACAATCGCGGTAAAGCAATTTATCCTCTATTTGGACTAATGAGGAGCACGGGTAACATTTTTATTTTAATATACAGGGTAGCATTTCTAAAGGTGCCCAAATTCACACAGGAGGTTCAGACTCGGTAGTATAATCGTTTATTGAAATAAAAACAAACTTATTTTTTTTTTCAAAAAAATTTGTATTCCGTTCCCTAAAAACAGAAATTGTTGACAATGCGGTAGTCATTCATAAATGCATCGTATACTTTTGAAATGAACTTGTGTGCGTGTTATTTATGAATGATCGCGCGTAAAAGATTTTCCCATAAATCACGCACTTCCTGCGACTAGTTCAAATGAATGTATTTAATTAATTATGAGTGATTTTAAACATTTATCATTTTTATATAATATTATATATGTTTAGAATTTAATTTTAAAAAAAATGGAGATAACTCAGAAAAGCCTCCCTGTATAGCTGATATTAGTTCACGGGGATAGCTGTTAATGTTCCATTATTTATAGGCAAAAAAAACTAAAAACCAAAAACTAGCCTTAAAACACATTAAGAGGTATATTGTTGCCCCTGATTAGTTATTTACGTTAGTACTATTTACGAAAGAGTAAGTACTATGTTTCATTCGGCTCTTTAGACCAAAAGCATAACAGGTGGCCTTCGACTATCGTGTCCCCATTCACATTTCTTTTGTAGAACCACGCTACAGGTTTTGGAATGGACTTATTAGGCAAATCATCCGCCAAAGTACCTTTAGCATACATAACACCGGTGTAAAGAAGAAGCATTTATTTATAATTTAATAAAATATTTGGTTTAGGGTAGCGAGGTATACAGAGATTTAAAAATTGATGAGGCAACTACAACTCATTCATCATCAGCATCACAACCCTGGACCAGAGTAATCATACACATGAGACACAGAGGATAATAGTGCGGTCATCATACCCCCTCCCCATAAACAGTAGGTATAGGATTTATACACTACTTAATTTAACTTATTATAAAAATTGATTACTTAATTATATCTTAATTTTTTCATCACTAAGTAACCGTTCTAAGACAAAACAATATAGAATACAATATTATATTGTATAAAATTATTTTTTTCATCATATTTATCCTTATCATGATTTCAATTTTTTATCAGACATACGTTATATCGTAAATTTAATTCGAAAAACTTCCCAGTACCTAAATTCTACAGTACTACCCCTCAAATTGCAAGCACTTACCTAGCTGATACTTTTCATCATAAATTATTGGAAGTAGGTGTTTCATCAAAATACATCAAATTATTTTTACAAACGCCAATCCCGAGTTTGTATCGCGCCGTGGCCTCACCGAGTATGATCTCATGCGTCGTCGTTCGCTGAACGTCCGCCGCCATTGATTCAGTCTGCGTCGGAGCCACTATAAAGTTGCCGGTGTCGGGAGTTCCGCCTTTTTAATTCTTTTTTACATTAAATAATAGAGTGCATCGAAGACATGGCCATCAGCCGACTGTCTATTATCAAGTTCCTAGAGCTGGTGAGTTGGTTTAATTTTCGTTGCTTTAAAGCCTCGGTAAATTTATGTTTACAACTTTACAAAATATAAACATTGGACGCGCTATACCGATGCGCATTGTGCGCGTTATTTTACAAGCCGACCGTTGTTTTACTTAGAATTTTTATTTTTAAAGATTTAAAAATCGGCGCATTTACTTTAATGAACTGGGTAAATACCGGTTAGTGGCTAAAGATTGTAGACTGGTCTTGATGTTGATCGGTTAAAATACAAATAATTTTCATACAAACAGTATAAAGTTAAATATCATTACTTTAATAATTTTTTATGATTAATTCATATATTTTAACATTATCAAAGCGTTCTGAGAATTAATATTTTGAGTTGGTTACAATTAGTTAGTTACAATTTGTAAACAAAAGTAAGCTGTAGTTTCAAACTGATAATATTTACAAACAGGTTTATCTATTTCTTTAAACATTGTATCATTTAGGTAATTCAGACAAGAAATGTTTTTCGAAAAGTAACCAACACGCCGGAATATTACGTAGTATACTGGGATTGAATGACATTTGTAGGTTGTTTGATGTATAGCCTTAAGTAGTAGGCATAAGGTATATTTTTATACTTCACATAAGCTAATGTACATTAAAACCTTTTGAATAATAACAACACGAAAAACAAGTGAAAGTGTGTAGTAAATCTAGTACGGTAGCGTGCAGAATATCGATGTACGGACGGAGGACATTGACTTGTTGTTGTTTTTATGGGAGTTTTTAGAACGTAACGTGTAAATTAAATGCAGACTGTACAGGGCGTGGCCGGTTAAGTGAATCATATGTAATTATGTATTAAAAAAACGAAACATAATAATATGATAGTGTCAGATTTTATGTACAGTCATCGTCGTAAATGTCAAGCGAGTGTTGTTTTGTATATTATATCTATTACACATTTAAAAAAAATCGTATTTTATTGGCAAGTTAAGCAACAGAACACCTAACGTCGGGCATAGATAACCTAGACGAGTTCTGGGTTTAACAACCGCAGTATTATACATAATATCTCCATTTTTTATTTTAATGCTAGGCATTGTGAGTGTAGTATCCTTGCTAGTTAATTCTAATTAACTAAAATTGATATTTAGGGTCACGACGCGCAACGTTTCCATTTCTGAGATCTTTTCATTTTGCTTTTTTAATACCTTGTATAAGCTTTCTTATACCGTCTACTGAATTCACATAGCATTGACACATTATTACTAACTCCTAAAGTACACATAAACGATGGGAAGCTAAGAACACAGCCATAGTATAACCACGATTTTTATCAATTAATAATTTTACTGATACAGGTCGCAAGTATTACGGTAATATGCATTTCGTAACATTCACAGCTCATATGTCCAGTAGCAGGGGAATTGCATAAGAAATTAATTACCATGTTACTCCACATTTCTCAGTACTAAACCCAATTAATTCAAGTATTACGAAAGAAAATAAGGTGAACTAAACAGACCTGCTTTTTTAAATTAGACATTTTTATTAATTCCGATTTTCTAATTCTAAAACGTTTATTTAAACAACAACCCACCAAAACTTGGTAGCTCAGAACGTAACACAACTTTCATAAAATATCTGACTTATGGCTATTTAAAAGTATATATCTCTCTGTTGCCATAGCTCGTATTGTAGTGACACTTTTATGATAGTGCTCACAGTGCCCTAAAACTTATTTCATGGTTGCTAGATTTGTCTCACATTTGATATGGCCACATCGCTCGAAGAACTGATTACCGATGGGGAGTAAAAGTTCTCGAGTGGCGACCACGAATCGGAAGACGTGGCGAAAGCCCCTCTCTAGGTGAACCTACGATATCGTACGAGTCCCGGGCAACCGATGGATGCAAATGTCAAAGTGTCATTCGCTGTGGCGTTCTAAGGGGGAGGCCTATGTTAAACAGGGGACGTCTTGCAGCTGATGATTATGATGATAACATTTGTCAATGCGTTCAAATAGTGACATTGACAATTAGTTTAATCAATGATAAAATCATTGGAATATGCAAGGTGAAAATAAGGAGTACTGTCTCATATGGGGGAACACCTTAAGCAGGAACTTTGCCAATATCCCCAGAATGGCACTAGAGTAGGAAGAGTCTTTGATTAATTTACCTTGTTGCGTTGAATTTCAGCGACTATAGTAACTATGGCAACTTTTAATTAACCATTTCTTACCCACATGCTACCGTAGTGTGACCCAATGTGACGCCTTTGTATTTATTTTAGTGACATTTAATTGTCTATACTATATTATAGACAAGCACATGTAATAAACACCATTGGCAGGTGTATTTTTGCGGGTATGTAGGTCACCTCTGACCATAGTTTACTGGCTTACATCAGAGGCCCATTAACTCTATCTTTGGTGATAACGGCCATGCCAATCATTTGCACGTTAAAGAAGTACAACTGATACTGTACGAATGCGTTGTTTCACGTCACCGTTTAATGGTTCATTTTCTGAAAACTTTTTGTACTTATATTTATCACTACGTATAGTTTAGTCATTATCCTTTTTTAATATTGTGAGCTAAATAATGTAGATCCAAATAAGCTTAGTTTTAGTACGTAAGGTTTGTAAATAAGTGTTGTGGATATAGTTTAAAAAAAATTGCGTTTGCACTGACATATTTCTTAATGTTGTTTTTCTTATAGTGATAATATAATTACTTAATCATCATTAATAGGTTTTGCTATTATAATATTATATATTAATATAAGGTTAACGATATGAAGTTATTAACCTCTTATGATTTTGTTTTCACGAGCTCTTTGTTATCATGGGCATTAAAAGATGACATTATTTAAAATATTATCTGTAAAATATTTAACGAATTTTATTGAAACAAATTATATGTTATATATTATTCTAGACACAGGATTTTAATTAACTTAGCATGCTTATCAGTGATAAATAATTAATCATTCTGAAACATCGTTTTTCTATGGAGAAACTCTACATACATTAGGTATGTGTGCGCTAAGTACGAAGGCAGACACATTCTTTTAGGTGGTTTCATGGAATTTCAGTTTTAGAATCACTGTATTGTTGCAAAGTTCACGACGCCCTGCTGTTCCAGATTTCATTTTTTCTCTGACTGAAATTTAAGGATTAATATTAAGTAAGTAATCAAAGTTGTTTGTACATTTGTATGTAATTGAAATCGAGAGGGCTCTTAACTTAATGCTACCCACGCAACGCTCCAATTCGTCTAGAAGTATGGTTGTTTACAAGTTCGCTGTATGCTCCGTCGATTGTACTCATACATTCAATTACGTCATCATCGCGACCTTATAATACCTTAATTCTCAAGTAATTATTAAGCCCATAACATTTTCCTTGAATATGATTTATATTTTGCGCAGTAGCTCGACGAACTTTAACATATTTTTATAAACACTGTAAGGTAAATGAAACGGTCATCGAAGCAAACAATTTATATTCACCTTTCAATCGCTTTCAAACACGGATGGGCTTCTTAATACGGTTGTCTGTTACCTCGGAACTACGACATTTACAAACTAATAACTTAAAAAATATTTTTCCATTGGGCTCCGTTTAGCTCCGTGTGTTCCGATTTTCGGGATATTATTTTACACAACGTTATCCAGTTCCAAACTACAAAGCTTGTACTATGGGTACTAGAAAACTGATGTCATACTTAAACGCACTTTTCTTTTGTAAATAAATACATATTATAGATATATAAACACCGTCTGGGTGTTCATATATCTACAATATGTAAATAGCATAGTCTATAACTAGAAAAACACAAAAAATCTTGCCAGTCGTGGGGATTGAACACGTTCAAATTTAATGTACATATTGCACATTGAACTCCAGAGATAGATCAGGGAACACATAAAAATCACATAGAAAATGTTTATTGTGAAGTATACAGCGTGTCGTTACCATCGCGACAATAAATGAACACACGTCTAACGCTACTTGCCAATAATCATAAAAATATAAACGTTAAAATAATCCATAATAAAAAATATTTTTCAAACAATGTAATTAAAAAAAAAAAGAAACAAATTTGTAACATCCTATACAACTACAACTGACTGATTCATACATTCAGAGACTTTTTCATTCGTTGCCACAACGTCGCATTTTTTTTTATGTGAAAAGTTGCCAAACGAGCAGACGGTTCGCCTGACGGTAAGTGAAACATGACATGCATTGGACATACACCCGAGGGTTACAGAAGACCACTTTTTTTCCGGCTACCTTCGTATTTGTCACACTTTACGGTCTTCTGTGAGGTCATTACAAATCCTGCCCATTGTGCAAACGAGGCTGCTGCGTGGCCCTACTACCGTTAAAAATACAAATCTCTCCTTGTAACAGTATGTTTTATCTCTTAAATTCATTCAACCCATTCATATTCTTTATGAACTTTACAAGTGAACTCTACGTTACAGTTTTATACGTAAGGTTGTTCTAAAATTGTTTGTTTTGGAAAATTTTATAACTCGGTAAATATAGATATTTAAAGAATGTAAATTCTTAATACAGTTTTAATTAGTTATCCTCTATATGCGTATTGATTTATAGTCGCGTTAGTAGCGCCACGTTGTATACGACGATAAATGTGTATCAAAACTAGTTATTTCCGTACGCATCGTACTTCGTGTAAATAATATTAAAGAAAATATTTGGTTTAAAATGAACGTTTCGAAAATAGATTCACTACGACATAGTGTAGTAGTGTAGTAGTAGTAGTGACTACGTGGAGTAGTACTAGGTCGATTAATAATAGCTCTACAGTTCGGTAACATACATAAGGTAAGAATGATATACATAAGGTAATAAATAAAAGGCATTAAGCTTTTTTTACGCGACAAAGTGGCAAACGAGCTTGCGGTTCACATGATATTACGTCATAATCTCGCCGCCCATGGACATTTGCAACACCCATAGGGTTGCAGAAGCGTTGCCACCTTTAAATAAAGTGGACCCCGGCTACCAAACTCACCAGACGAAACACAGAAGATTCTTCTACTTTACACCGGTCTTTTGTTATGGTCTATTGTCGTTGTACTTATCCGGACGGACCTGCCATTCGTGCAACAGTGAACAATATCGCAATGCCCTACCACAGTCAAAATCGCTCTTATTTTAAAAAGAACCGAACAGGTGAAAGATAGTATACTTGAATAAAAGCTACTTTTATATGTATATTACTTATCATTCTTGATCCCTGACCTCAAGCGAATTCTTAATATTCTGTTTACATGCGGCGTGCGTCGAGTTAACGGCGTCGATAAAGACTATTTTGCCCCAAGGTTCATGTTTGACCCCGTCACCAATTTAACTCATGACTGTCTTCATTCACGTTGCCGTTAACACGCTTTTCCATTCCAATTAATGGGTCGCCAATCGAAATTCGGGTGTACGATGCATGGTGGCCTAGAAATTACTAGAAATGCTCAATAAACGTGGCGCATGCAACCTAAACTTTAAGTTATCACGAGTGAGTTTCATGTTAATTCGTTCGATCTGGTTTAGTCTTTAAAGCTTTTAAATTTTTCATAAAAAAATTGTCAGTAAAGTTTGAAAACTAATAATTATTATTCGAAATTACGACTGTTCACATAGTTTTTATCAATACAAGCTGTATCGACTTGACCATAATGCGAGATAGTGATTGCTAGCAGATATCTGCTCCATCTTCCTACGCTTTTCCTTCATAATTATTTATCATTATGAAGCGATGAATCGATTCGAATGACTTGTCCATCGAATTAGTTTTTACTATGATATTAACGGTACCAACGAGCGTTAGTAGCTTTCAAGGCGATCATTCGACTCCGGCCTTGGCGCTACGCGACCCGCATTTAACGTGGGACCGGTTACGAGACTCGAGGTGACATCACCGCCACTTCTAGACTATAGGCCTAGCGTTACATCATAGCGCGGTGTCCGTGGGTGGTATTTCGCGGAAATGACGTCGGTCAACCCTAATATTTTAGAAGTATGTATTTGGAATGCTGATGTCAGCCCTAATATTTTGGAAGTATGTGTTTGAAATGCTGATGTCAGCCCTAATATTTTGAAAGTATTTGTTTGTAGTGTTTGGGTCAATCAATATTTAAGTAATATATGGATGGTAAAATAGTATTGTTTTAAGCACTAATATTATTGTTTGAGTGCCTTTGATTCATATCAATACCGAAACTGTATGGTTGAGTGTTATGTATATGAGCAATGTTTTCGTATGAAAAGCAGTAAAGCCTGATAAATAAAATGCAAAGAGACTGTTTACTGAACGATTGATATATTTTAACAATGAAACGTTTAAAATTGGATTTTAATTTGAAATATATGCATGAATTGCATTTGAAGCTAATAAATAAAAATGAATCTTATTTACGTATAAAAATAGATTTTAAATAAAATTTGGCTCGCTTTTATTTTTTTAATCTCTTTTTAATTCAATATAAATTTCTTTGGTAATTTATTAATTAATTTAGATTGAATTATAGATATCTCTTTCGAGTTCCTCTTAAATATATGCTAAATAAAAGAAGTAGTGTACTTACTGTACATGTCCTAAAAATGAACTATTTCATTTGGAGATTAATAGGGGCAGTTAAACCACTAATATAATCTAGAGCAGAATCTATTGGAAAGTTTATAATAAGTCTATTAACATTCTACCAAAAAGAGATTTTCTGTTAAGTAACTGGACAATAACCATAATGTTATATTGTATGCGAAAATGATGTGTTGCTTTTTGCAACCCAGGATGACTGTCTGATGGTCGGAATTAACAAAAAAGAAAATGTTTACAGAGAAATTTCAGGTTAATGTCTGATTGTCATAGGCAATAACCATTAATCCAAATCGTTACCTTTATCTATACGACAGTAAACGTCGTTAGGAATTAAGCGCTCAGCATAAATGCGAGTATACATGAGGGTTGTCATAAAATTTTTATTTCAATTCCCATTTTCATTTCCTGTATACCAAAAGATATTGAAATATAGAAATGATAGCAATTTAAATTTTTTTTAATTAATATAACTTCTGTAGTATATGAATTGTATTTATGCAAATACTGCACATTGTTAAATAAAAATGTTTTACGCTTCGAACGATCGCATAGCCATTAAGTTAAAACACAAAATAACAATAAACCAATCAAACCCTTATAATGATTCTATTTTAAACGCAATTGCAGTTCTAGTAAATATTGATTTCCAAGGACAGAATATTTGTTACAGTTATCTGCAATGATATCATGCTTACTACGAGCACATCATACATACGTGACACCTACCTACAAATCTCTACACATTATTTCTCAAAGCGTCTTTATGCCATAATTTTAATAATTTTTAAGCCTTTTTTATAATTGAAACACTATTTGAAAAGTTATCTTTTCCGCTGTTTATGAAAAGTAGAGTAAAATTAATATTTTCATAAAAAAAAACTTTCGTTTAAAAATTATATACGATAATGCCTTCAATTTCTATAAATGATAGGTAGCGAATTTTATTGAAAAACATTATTCTTCAAAATAAGATACCTGTCATTGGTAAAATATTTGCACATTATTATATGACCATTTGTCAACGGATAACGGTACTGATCGAAAATCCGCACTGTCCAACTAGGTCTGAATTAAGACAAATCGCGTCAAATTAACCTTATAAAACTACTCATGTATGATACTGGGTGTTATTTTCCGATGCTTGCCTTTTATTTGTTTTTGTGTTAATAAATTAATCTTTTTCAACGTTTTTTTTTTCGAAATATCACATGGCTCTATCTATTACTTATTTTAGTCCACTTTCCCCCGTTTGTATTTTGACATAGAACGTTGATGTCTGGCAAAAATATGAAATTTAAAGGATACATGTCGCTCCTTTCAGGCGCTGACTTGCTCGTGTGTCGCGTTGCACTACCACAGCTACAATGCCGATGCGGATCTCGGCATGCTGGTCACTGGCACCTTCGTGGGTTACCTCATCATATTCGCGGGGGCCGCTGCCGGTAAGTTTCTCTACTATGTCTACCATAGACCATAATTTCTGCTTTACATACTGTAGACATCAATATGTCTATGGTATGTACAGACAGAACATGATACAAGAGTAACATGTTCGATCTCAAATCGAAGGTACGAAAAAAAAACTATCGAATTTGGAAGGAAAGCCGGTGGTAGGGCCACACTACCGTCTTAGCTGTTGCACAAATGGGCAGTACCGTACGGGCATGTACAACGTCATCACAGAGAACCAGCAAGAAGTGGAAGTGTTATTCTTAAGCGTTTCGTCTGGTGAGGGAGATACGGGGCCCCTTAACTTTATTAAAGTATGACAATGCATCTGCAACCCTACGTTGCAGATGTCAATGGGCAGCGGTTATCGCTTTACATCAGGTGAACCGCCAGCTCAGTTGCCATCTTTTTACGTAACAAAAAAAAATGTTTACAATGTATACTGGTCGTGTATCGACGAATTGTATATTTTGATTTGTAACGATAAGCAAAAGATCTATTGAGCCGAGTAAAATTTATCAGAGGCGTCCATCGAAATGTCTATGCTATTTGCGATAACTTGCTAATTATCAATTTTCTAAATAGCAGTCGATGTTGATCTGACAAATAGATTAATATTGTGACATAAACATTTTTATGAGTGTGTGTTTGTCGCTTATCGTACCTGTCATAGCATACCGATGTGTAACTTCCTATTACAATTAAATTATAAACATCGTTATGCAGATAACGGCCTTTTTTGTGGAAATTAATTCATACGTTTCCTTCGAATTGCGCGTTATCTTATTAATGAAATGATCTTATCGTTATTAAGATTACGTCAAATACTCTTTGTAATTAAATACTCTTTCTTTGTTTGGTACTTGCAAATGCGATTAAATTGGAGTAAAATTATGAGTTTCTTTATTGTTTTGCACGTATATGTGTTGTAACTACTTTTTATTTTATGTTAATAAAATTCTTTTAGTTATGTTTCGATTTCTTAATACGCCAAGTAGCAGGCCCACAGTCTTAAATGGATGGTGATAGGTTGTTTTAAAAAAAACAGAAATGAAAAACAACAAAGAATAAGAAGATAGAAGCGTTAAAAATATAAATAACAAACACGCAAATACTAAGAATCGTCCGTCATCATAGGATAAATGCCTTTATTTGTCAAGTGGTGTTTTATTAACAAGTCATTGAAAGAAAATATGACACATACATAAAATTAACGCTAGTTCGCAGACAATTGCCACTTTGTGTGCGGCACGACATTAGTATATCGTATCTTCCTAAAGATTCGTTTTCTTTCGGTTAATTTTAAAATTTTTTTCAAGTATTGGTTTCCTAGATTTATCCAAATATCTCAAATTGAATAAATGTATTTATACGATTTGACTTTTCAGACACTAGATGCTATGCTACATTTATGATGGTCATGTCCCAGGTTTAATGACGTAATGTTGCTATAATTATACTGGGATAACCTCATCTTTGTATATATGCAGATGGGCTTGCATTATCTTGAAATCTTGCAGTATTGGCGCTCTTAAATCAAATCTGGTTGAGTTAGTTTACTCCTGCTTTATTTCTCCGGCCTCGCGTTTCATCGTTATCAATCTGTGTGCTAACCTGGATTTTAGTTTTATCCCACGTACGGTCTGTTGTAAGGAGCCGTATATTCGAGCATCCTGTGGTCGAACCCCGGTGCCGGCACTAATGAAATAGTTAACTTTAAGTGCTGACTAGTCACGTGCTCAGCGGCGAAGATAAAAGTTCGTGAGGAAAGCTGCATGTTTTCGAAATAATAATAAAAATAAAATATTTCGAGAATATATGAAGTCCGCTAATCCGCAGGGTGTCGCGTAGTGGACTACGCCCTAATACTGTACAGAGGACAGAGGCGACCTTTGCCCGGCAGTAGGATATACTTTTACTTTTTAGTTACTTTCACGGTCTGTTTAAGTATTTTTCGCTTTATTACAGGCTACGTAATGCAAACACCGTCACACAAGCGTATTGACATATTCTACTCGCTGGTTGGTGTTGCCCTGTTCATCGCAAGCGGTGCCGTCATAATCGACAGGTAAGGTATACGTCTCCTTAATGTTTAAAAGGCGATAAATTAATTATTTAACAATTGCTAGTTATACATATTAAAAATCTTATTCTATTAAAACAAAATGAATTATTTCTAATATAAACTTATTAATATGCATTAAGGTTGGTACCGGTTGGACAAAGTCCTTCAAGTGGATATATATAATGAAATCGAAATATTGGTCTAAACCAAAATGATTCGAACTCGGTCTACGCTATACAGCCTAGAACACTTCCTTGGCCTGGGCCTTACAAATATTTAATGTAATTATAGACACCAAACACTTCAATCGGTAGATATAATTTCGTTTCATGTTGTTGTCATGTAAAAATTTTCTCATTTATATATATATATATATATTATATTTGAGTGAATTTTGCTTTTAATTGGCAATGATTACGCTGTATCATCTACGGAAGGACAACTTTTGGATTTGTTATCTTCGGCAAGTTACTGTCAACTGTTCAGTTGTATACGACTGTCAGTAACCATGTTGGTGCCCATAGTCTCATAGAACTGGTGGGGCCCTTTAACAAAGTAAAAGTCGATCAATAAGTAGAAAATATTCAATGCTTTTAGTCTTTTGTATCCAAAAACTTAGTTTATCAACTGAATATTAATGACTCACATACTGATGTTTGATGAGTTCTAGGGCGTTCGTAAAGCTGAGAGCCGTAAACACGAGTGTCCTAGAGTAATGACGACTTGCCTTTTTAAAACAAGTCCCCTTCAATGGCAAATTCTGTAGACTAAGATATATTTAAGTTTTGTTCAATATGGACAATTATCATAGTTCCTTGTTCATTTTCTTTTATTCAGATACCAAAACTACGGCAAAAGTGAGCTCAAGGACAAGAATCTAGCTAAAGCCTCGCTGTCTATCATCAACGGTGCAATATTGCTCGTCGATGCCGTATTAACCCAGCGCGGAGGATAGATGGCGCTGTTTCCGCTTACTTGTACGAGATGATGATAGAGTGCTAGCATAAAAATTATGTATCAATAATGAATATGAAAAAAATATATTTCGCGAACTACAACAAAGTACTCAGCGCTTAAAATCGCTGTGAAATATATAATTAAAGGCCATATTTCATATTTATATGTAATGTTTTTAAAGTCTTTACTTATAAAACTTTATCCTATTGTAGTGGATATTTCTATAATTCACATTAATATATTGGGTCTTTGAATATAAAATCTACCTCGAATAATAATATTTTTGGTAAATGTATTGTGTATTTAAAACTTAGCATTTGTATAAATATTTTTGAGAAACGAATAAAAGTTCATAACACTCGCGCTAACATTTTTATAAAACAGATATTACTTTGATGTTAAATGTATAAAAAAAATATTATATTATATGCACAAACTTAAATATTCTGATGAGGTACATATATTATTGTAACTTTTGTATTTTTGTCTAGTGTAACTAATATACAACTTATAAAAATGCATCACGGTTAAATAACATTTCGTTAAAGGGACAAACCCACTCTTTTATATCATAAGCATTTAAACGATAAGTTAAAGTCACGTTAAGTTTAATTTATTTATTTCTGTTTGTTTTTCTACGTTGTTTTTTTTATGAATACAATTGTTCGTGGCATTATAGCATAAAATACCTGTTATTTGTGATGATTCCGCCATACGCACTTTTATATAAATTAATCTTGTGAACAGTTTCAACAATAAAGAATTCAATAATACCATGTGTTTTATTCACAAAGGCCTCTTTTACCTTCATAGTCTTTTTTGATATTTCGAAATTCTAATTATATCGAATTATCCATACTAATATTATAAATGCGAAAGTAACTCCGAGTGTCTTTCTCGCTTTCACGCCAAAACTACTGAACCGATTTAAATGAAATTTGATACACAGATAGTCTAGAGCCAGGGAAAAGATTTGCTATTTTATATAAAAAAGTGTTGTAAAGGCTTGAAAGGTTAAAGAAAAACATTTATTTAAGGGCATCAACGCGAGCGAAGCCGCGGGCGAACAGCTAGTATTAAACATGTATATCGGAAAAATATTGTAATCACATAAAATTTTATTTGGGGTTTTAGTATGTCCAAATCACAGCAATTATAACACCGAACTGCCTTTTTTTAAATAACTATGGTAGGGCCACGCAGCAGCCTCGGCTGTTGTACGAATGGGCAGGCCCGTCCGGGTATAGCGTGGTAAGCGGGCGTGGCAAATACCACGTAATAAGTACCACGACCTCGCTGAAGACCGGCGTGAAGTGAAAGTATAACAAATACTTTCTCGTTTCGTCTGGTAAGTGAGGTAGCCGAAGCCCAATTTTCAAAAGTTTGTCAACGAATCTGTACCCCTCAGTTGTAGCAGATGTCCATGGGCGGCGGTATTCGCTAACATCAGGTGAACCGCCTGCTCGTTTGTCAACTTTTCACGTAAAAAAAATTAAAGTAGAACTATAAAGCATAGTTAAAAAAAAAACTGTTTTGGCGAAAGGGGGTTATAACACTGGCCTCATTTATTTTAAACAAATGAGGAACCAAACCCCAGTTACAGATTTTTCCTTTTTTATGTGAGAAAGTGGCAAACGAGCTGGCGGTTCACCTGATGTTAAGTGATTATCGCCTGCCCATGGACATCTGCTACACCCGAGGGTTTGCAGATGCGTTGACCTTTTTGGAAATTGGGCTCCGGCTACCTGATTCACCAGACGAAACGCGAAAGTATTAGACTTCCACTTTACGCTGGTCTTCTGTGAGGTCGTGGTACTTACCCGGACGAGCCTGCCCATTCGTGCAACGGTCGAGGCTGCTGCGTGGCCCTACCACCGTAAAAATTGTGCCGAAAAAGATTACTCTGACATGTTTTTATTTATGATTGAGCTATATTCTGTATTATAATTTTCCTATTTAATCCAATAATTTTTTTTTGATACCGTATTAAAAAGAAAGTTCCTTTTGCAAAGCGGACACTAGTTCTAGTAGTTGTAAGAACAAAGTTCTTATAAACTTCTTGCTTACAAACTAGTGTCCGCTTTGCAAAAGGAACTTTCTTTTTAATACGGTATCAAAAAAAATTATTCGATTAAATAGGAAAATTAATAAGATTAGATCATAAATAAAAACATGTCAGAGTAATCTTTTTCGGCACAATTTGTACGGTGGTAGGGCCACGCAGCAGCCTCGACTGTTGCACGAATGGGCAGGCTTGTCCGGGTAAGTACCACGACCTCACAGAAGACCAGCGTAAAAAGTCTAATACTTTCGCGTTTTCAGCCAGCCCAAAAAAAAAAATTATTGCAAACCCTCGGGTGTAGCAGATGTCCATGGGCGGCGTTATTCACTTAACATTAGGTGAACCGTCTGCTCGTTTGGCAACTTCTAAAAAACAATTATACATTGGTACAGAATAATTTTAATTAAAATTTAATTTCAATTAGTCAGAGGAGTTCCTCTATTTTTTAGACGAAAGTCCGACAACATGGTTTTCTAATAATTAAATGGTTTTCTAAAAAAATACGAAAGAAAACATGAGTGAATTGCGAAATATATTCTATATATTCTACATTTTATATCATCTGACTCATGATTTTAAATTAAATCTCTATTAATTAATCACTAGCTGTTATCGTCCATGTAATCATACATAATAGGAATACACTTTATCTCTCGAGCAACCTAAGTACGATCCCCTGTGCCAGCGCCAATGAAATTGTTAACTTTAAGTGCTCACTTATCACATCCTCAGAGGAAAACATCTTGAGGAAACCTGTATATTTAAATAATAACAAAAAAAATATTTTGAAGATATGTTAAGTCCGCTAATCCGTAGTGGGGCCACGTGGTGGAGTATACTCTGATACCCTCTGTACAGTGGAAGTCTTGGCCCAGCAGTGGGACTTGTAAAATCTGTTGCTTTAAACATTCTAATAAATTTACCTTCTTTGACCGCTCATGCCAAAGATCCATCCTGTTTTTCGGCGGTGGCAGTGTAGGCTGAGAAAAATTGAACAAAGCTCTTCTGCCTGATCAATGTATCTTCGTTGGTTTAAAATACTTCGATTTTCTGACAGAGTTTTGTTGCTTTCATTAACATCATCTAACATCATTAGAAAAAAACAGAGGAAACCAAGCCAGAACCACGGAAATGAAATTTTGCCGGATGTTACCATTTATATTGATGACTCCGTGGCGTAGTTTCCAAGGTATTGGCTTCGGCTTTAGGGGTCGTGGGTTCGATTCCCACACGGGACAACTATTAGTGTGACCCACAGAAAGTTGTTTCGCATCTGGGTGTATGTCTGCGTGAAATTTATGTTTGTAAAACGTTATTACAACACAGGATAATATTATCCTAAAGTAATGGCAATGGCAAAAAAGAAAAAAAAATATTGCAGATATGCTATAGTATAGAAATTGTAGAAACTGATTCGTGTGGATATCGTACAGATATTCGCAATTTTCATAGTTATACGTCTCGAATCCATAAAAATTTGTACCATGAAATTGAAATCGCTCTTCTGTTAGATTTATACGTTGGTACAATTTTCTCTTATATTCTAAAATTCTGTTTTGATTTTAAATGTTACAATAAAAAATAGAGAGGATAGAAAAATACTGAGATTTATATCGAACATTCACGTTACCTTCAGTTCACTGTTGACGCGTGGATCAAATATCAAGTTAATTGCCAACCGAATGTATGATAAGCCATAAAAAGTTAAGTATGTAATAAATCAATTTGGAGTAATGTCAATAATAACTTGGATGAGTACCTTATTTTATTTGAGTTATTGATTTAAGAATGATTTTGTTTTGTCTTAAAGTGCGGTATGTATACCAAATCGATCTGTTTGAAGGATTCCAACGTATAATTTTGGCCACTTTGAATGACTGAGTGAATGCTTTGTCATGTAGTCAAGACCAAAACCCTAACGTAAAAAGTTGCCAAACGAGCAGCTGGTTCACCTGATGTTAAGTGAAAACCGCAGCCCTCACGCGTCTACGCATCTACTACACCCCAGGGTTTGTAGATGCGTTGACAACCTTTTTGGAAATTGGGCTCCGGATACTTCACTCACCAGACGAAACGCGAAAGTATTTGTCATACTTCCACCTTACGCCGGTCTTCTGTGAGGTTGTGGTACTAACCCGTACGAGGACGACCGAAAATTTCTTGCTCCTTGGTAACAATTGCTATAAATCAGGCAATTGTTGGACCAAAGTGATTACCATAAACTTGATCATGAAAAAAATAATATGTTACGCAATGCTAACTATTCAGAGATTTTTTTTAAATTACCAAAAACAAAGATGTGATTAACAAGGAAATCTAAAAGTTAATTTTAAAATATACGGTAATATAGTTTGCACTGATTCTAAAGTATTTTATAGCTTTTCTAGGCTTATATCCCATGGTCACGGTCCCTATACATTAAAAAAGAAAAAAAAAAGGATTTTTAGGATTCCGTACCCAAAGGATTCCCTATTACTAAGACTCCGCTGTATCTCATGAACCGTGTTTGTTAGAAGGTTGAAATTTTCACAGATGATGTATTTCGGTACCCTGTAGTATGTAGTAAAAAAATTAAAAAAACAGAGTAAAAAATATTTGAATTTCGCTCGAATAAAACAGACATGAATTTTACCTAGGAATATCCTTACAAAGGAAAGTGTTGCTTGTCATGAATGTCTTTATTATTTCAATTTACAAGTTTCAAAATAAAGTCAACAGCTGACGATATATAAATCACATGAAGTAAAGATCACTTTATGTACTTTATATATCTTGAAACATAGATCAAATATCAAGTAAAACACCAGCCAAATGTTTGACGTGCCATAAAGGTTTGTAATAAATCAATTTATGGTCAACATCACTCTAACGTCTATAATTACTTGGTTGAGTACTTTAGTTTCACTGATGGCCCTGTTTTGAGTAAACAGGGAAGTATAAAAGGACTTTTCTAATAAACCCACTGCTATTAATATTTAGAAATTCTCCAAAATTTTACTATGAAAAATATAATTCGCTTATTGTATTTTAAAACTATTATTTTCTGCAATGTCTGTTCGGGTACGGAGTTAACAGATAAGGCTACATATATAGCTAATAAAGAATTTGAATACCGTCAAGTCACATGCATAGTTTGGGAGCACTCTGATTCTGACGACGTTAATGACTTTTTGGAAAATTTTCATGGCAGCGTAGCAACACTAAATATAGAAGAAATAAAACTAGACTCAGAACTGAATAAGTTTCATAAGTTTGTTCGATATAAACAAACTGTGTTTTTTGCTACCAAACCTGAAGAGTTTAAATTTTTTCTCAATATGATAAATCCTATGATAGTTTCAACGATTAGAGTCATATTGATTATAACCAAATCAATCGACAATGATACTGCTTTGTCTGAATTCACTAAAGTTGCATGGGAAAATGATGTTGGTTACATTATTATTTTAAGTTTAAGTAGTGGTAGGAACCGCGTGGAACTTACATCTTACCATCCGTTTAGTGACGGGAAATGTGACAATTACAAACCGATAGCAATACCATATAATCAAACAAACTACATGGGCAGAAATTTTGCAAATTTTCATCGATGTGCTGTTAGATTCTCAGCTTTACATTATCCCCCATTTTTCGTTTATGAGTCCACTAATGACATCGTTACTCATGTTGGAGGAATAGATGGGGAGGTCCTCAAATTGTTACTGGAAAGACTAAATGCCACCATGGCCATAGGATGTTCTCACGACCATGGAGGTATAGGAAAGTTCGTTAACGGCACGGCGGTGGGCTGTTTCGCTGATCTTGTGGATGGCTTAACTGACACAATGGCTCTGGCAATTATACTGAATTACGATAGACACTCTGTAGCACAGCTGACGTACGTGTACTCGACATTAGACGCCGTCTGGTGTGCTCCGAACAGACGCGAGATCAGTGCCTGGGCTAAAGTGTTGCTTCCTTTCTACACGACGATCACTCCGTTTCTTGTTCTATCATTTGCTCTATTCATTATGTCGTCTCTGCTCGTACAGCGATTTGGAATTGTTGAAACTAAAAAGAAACCAACATTTATAAGTGTGACGTACCAAACTTTAGGGCTTTTCCTGGGGCAGTCGACTAAATTTATGACCAAGTATTGGTTATCCAACAGCGTATATGCTTTGTGGATTTGGTTTTGTCTAATAGTGCGGGTTGTATACCAAAGCGACCTCGTGAAAGGGTTCCAACGTACAATTTTGGAGTCACCTCTCTCTACTATTGAAGAAGCTCTCACTACTGTCGACGGGTACGGAGGGGAGCAAGGATTCTTGGAGTTTTATCGAAATACCTCCATTGAGAAGGATTATCAAGCGCTATCACTTTCTGAACTTCCAGTTTATATAGAGCAGATAGCGAAAGGCAGAAGATTTCTATTGGCCGTCGACGCGCTTTTAGTCAAATATTTGAATCAAACTGTTCAGTTTCTCGACGAGCGCATAACACGAATACCAGTATGCTTCTTCACGAGACCTCGTTGGCCCGCCGCTGATGAATTTAATGAAGTCATCGTACGCATTGCTGAAGCAGGTTTTGTGGCTAAAATTTTACGTGATCACACAACTAATTGGCTATCTCATGGTAATGTTACGGAAGCAGAAAGTGTGAAACCTATCGATTTTTTAACACTCGGCGCCTGTTTCTACGGATTATTTATTATGTGCTGCATTTGTACAGCAATTCTATGTATTGAACTTGTTTATTATAAATATACAAAACGTGTGTAGGACGTAAGTTTAATTGTATTGTTATACTTTAAGATATGTTTCTATTTAAGAATTTCCTATCAACAACTTAAAATTTTTAAACTTTATCACATTCACCTTTTTCACAATAATATATTAAAGGAATTTATTCCTTGCTAAACTTAGTTTAATTTAACTACTTTAATTATACTTGTTTTTACCGCGGTAAGGCCAAGTAACAGCGTCCGCTGTTGCACGAACAGGCAGACACATCCGGGGAAGTGTGGCCTGACGGAAGACCAGCGTGTAGTGAAAGTATAATACTTTCGTGTTTTGTCTGGTGTGTGAGCGTAACCGGAGCCCACTTTTAAATGGGTTGGCATCGTAGAAACTACTAACGGTTGTACAAAAACTAGTAACGGAATATGAAAACTAAAATCATTAAGATCCTTTACCTAACATTTCAAAATTGGATATCTTTACTCACTTCTTTTTTATTAGCTGCGACCAAACTTTGTATAACTTTGTATAAACAAAATGAAAAAAGGAATTTTTGATCTTCCTTCATAAATATACGCTTTTATGCGAATTTTTATGTTAATTCTGTCGTTTTAGTCTTAATAGATTTAATTATCTTCGAAAACAAACTAGTACTATTTAACAAAAATCCTTTTAGTCTTGTTATCCTTTGATATAAAACTGACAAAATCACTTCAGTAGCAAATAAGTACTTGTAAAGAAATGTTATGATTGATCGGTCATATCGATTCGTCAGACTATAAATTATGAGAGAAATAAACGCCTTTTCTATCCATAGAGAATGAAAACTTTAGGTATATAAATATTTTAATCCACAAAAGAATATTGTAAATGAGTAACTGCTACGTCATTGAAGTGATTCCATGATTTTGAGCAACCAGAAAATTATATCAATAGCATAATATTGCCATCTGTCGATTAATTGCGGTTACTCTACCACTTACACTACCTATCAAAATCAATATCTACCAAAAACAACTAATTCCAAAAATTCAATTTTCTTGCGTTTTGGATAGTCATAAGGAAATAAGCGGCTATATGCTACTAATATAACATGTTTTATTTATTGTGTTTTATATCTTATAACTCTTAGGTATGTAAATACGGTAAAATATGATAAAAATGATAAATTGTAAAGTGAAAGTTTCTTAAAAAAAAAACTAAATATTCACAAAAAAATATATTATGACAAATTTTAATTACACAACCTGTAATAGTATGGTATCTGAACTGTTTATAAGTAGCTTCTGGCACGTACGTCTACACGCATGCGTGACGCTATCTTATTCTATTGCTATGTAATAAGTGCATTCATCATCCTCCCTGTACGTTTTCTTCTCCATCGTCTAACAAAATTTGCCTAAACGTGACGATCATCACCCCCTCAATTTTCACTTTCAATTCTCGTCTAATTATTAATCACTACCAATAAAGTTTCGATTCAAGATAATAAATTAGAATGTAAGTGTAAAATTCAGATTTAACTTCATACTCTACAAAATTAACTTGGAAAATAGATTACTCTTTCTACTCTTAATCTCTTTTCAAAAGCTATTTTAAGCTATTTAAGGCTATTTTAAATATTAGTCTTTCTTTATTTTGTGTCAATCAACGTCAACGATCTGAAAAAAGGAAATAAACAAATTATATTAATCTTTCAGTTGCAAATTTCGTACAAATTTCTCATAAATACAAAAACAATATAGAATGTTCCGATACATCTCTGTTAAGGCTTGACGAACGGCTTTTCTAATAAAGGAGACATAAAATATGTGCTCTGCAGCGTGTCACTGGCCCACAGTGCAATTGTTTCCGAGCCATTAGTGACTAACTGTAGTAGATGTACTATTCATGTTCCGTTCTACCTTTTTTGAGGTTCTATTTAAGTAAATAGTACTTATTGTAGATTCTGCATGGTTGGGTATTCATCGTTTATTCCAAATAAAATTCGTCCAACAGATGGCAGCACGTTCATTGTCATCGTTATTACGAAAAGTTCATGCGTTTAGATTTGCTACTCCTTATTGGAAGGTATTAAATAAATGTATGGAGATATGAAATAAAAATATAGTTCTGCTAGATAATGGTAAAATGAAACTATTATTCACATCGCGCTTTATTTTGATTTTTAATCACCGACGTTTCTGTTCCGTTACCATAAACGCTTTACTTTAGAGTATTCGAAATTTTCGAAATTTAAATCAATATTTTTAATTTGCATTTTAATTGCATTCAATCTTCAATAACATCGGAAATTATTAAGAGCAATTGCCATTGTTAAGTTATTTTAATTTCATGGCTATTAAAAAGAGGAAAGTTTAGCACGTTAATGCTAAAGTCAAATCTTATAAAACTTGTTGTAAACAACCAACAAGATAATTTTTCTTCTCCTTTAGAGTCGGGGATATGAGAGCTTGCATTATATAGTATTATAAAAATACATTTATTCCACAGTTGGTTTTGGAAAAACTGTTAAAAAAAACGGAGAATATTACGAAAATTGAAAAAATTTATAAATTATAAGATTATTTGTAAATTATTTTAAGCGAAAATCCAGAACCAACAATATTATGGCCTTAATCTTCCTTATATCGTTTTTCTTAGCAAAGCGGAACTGCATGGGATTCTGGGATTCTTATACTTTCAGCAAACGCTGAGCCAAAAATATTATATTAAGAACATTTAAAGTTTTAGTTTCTTGTTTTTATTTTTAGGCTAATAACTGCTTTATGCTTTATATATTTATTTATTTAATAAAATTTTATGATAATAACTAAGTCTTTTTTTACAAATTTAACTATTTACATATAGAAATGTAAGTAAACAAGATTAGTAAACAATAGCACACATAGGAAATAATTTGTCTCCAGCCAAATGTTAGTCGTGACTTGTCTATGGACCATAAATCGCGCGGAAACAATCAATTGAACGGCCAATCGACATTCGGCTATTGGCGTTCTATCGCATGAGTTATAAGAATTAACTGCATCACTGACAGAACTACGTGTTTCACAGTGATTTTAACCACGTGTAATTGAATGATTTTTTTTCCTCTCTTCGATAATTAAAACATAAAACAGATTTCAAACCTGAAATAAACTACAATACTACTTTGGTTTCTTGTCTGTCTGGTCGTTAGAATTTCATTACAAAGTTGATGCTATCTTAGTGGTCTGTTATAAACGTCGACATATTAAATAAAAGAAACAAAATCTACTATGTTCTTAATCGAACTATTTTCTTCATTGTCCTGTTAAAAAAAGATTAGGCGTAATTTAATTTGTGCAGAAACAACTATTCGCAAAATTTTTCTCCGGTGCGTTAGCAGGATTCAAACCTGCACCTTCCGAATTACGCGTCCACTAAGCTAAGCGCGTGCAGAGACTAGAAAATAAATCAAAAGAATAGATGCAATTAACATTAGACAAGTATTGAAGGGCAAATTGCAACGTCTCTAGTTTATCGAAGTCACACAGTTCTAATGTTCAAGTCTAATGATAATAAATTTATTTGTGACAAGTTAGGTAATAACTAAATAAAACACACTTCTACATTTCTTTCATCAATTAAACGGATTATGGTCTTCATTTCTGGTGGCTATAGGGCAAAACTATTTCACATCCAGTACATTTGTGTGCGGTATGACATAATAGGCTGACAGGACTTCATTGTTGTATGAGCGTTATTGGGCCTCAGTACAAGGCGCTGTTTTCGACAGCATATCTAACATCGTCTATTATCGTGGTTAAATGGAATTCAATGCAATTTCCTGTATTGTAGTATATAAAGTTGTTTGAAGTAAACATGTAAACCATAACGTGTGTGTATAACTTCAATCATTTTAAAGGAAAAATAAAAAGCGCCACAAAATAAGTACACATGAAAGTATGGTAAAGTTAAGACACAACAATATCAGAATATCAACAGCATTTCTAACCAAATATTGGAGTAAATTGAAGAGATACGATTTATTAAGACTGCTTACTTGATACACTTGATGATGATCCCTATGTAATCTTGTATTGCTCTGAGAGTTTTCGTTAGGTAATGACCAATTTTTCGCAGGACATCCGAATACCGTAAATAAATTCGATTACTCTTATGTCGCACCGATCCGAGCTATGGCGTTTATAAACGGCCATTCTTATGTATTGTTGAATGTATTTGTATAGAGAATATAACGTAACGAAATCAGAAGTTATATCGTTTCCTTCAGCTAGGAAAGTTTTGTTGTTGAAGTTTTTTTCTGAAATGGTTACTCGAAAGTTTACTTCCGAATTGAAAAAGTAAATATAGTGACTATATAGACATCATATTAAAAAAATTGTTCCTGATGGGTTATAGTGCCTAGTAATTTTGTCTGGCAGGGAATGGTGAAAACTATTACCTAGTTTTTTTGACTATTGTGTGTTATAAGGAGGCCATTTTAGTCGGGGAAAAGCCTATCTTGAAGGCGTTAGCTTTGTCCAAGATAAGCCAAATGCGTTCCAACAATTTATTGACTCACTAGTCCCTGTTCAGCTATTTTAATAGAGAATATTAATTAAACTGTTATTGGAATTGGAATTAAGAATTTGAATTTGTGTTTTTAACATTTTTAACTTCATCGTTATTAGTGGGACGTGATTTTATATTTTTATGGGTTTTTGTTTTAGTGGTAGTGTTATTTTTTATGTGCTTGAGCAATGTATGAGGAAAGAAATTTAAAGCTTTATTTACCTCAGTTTTATTAAATACATCGTGTCAATTTTCCTGTGAAATATCTTTATATAGTGTTTCATAATCTACAACCTGAAATTCACGTGAACGTTAGTGTCTATAAATGCTACAAAAGAAATTAAAATTGTGTTATAAAATTTTATTAATTTCAATCTGATCTATATGATCAGATTGAATTAAATATTTCGTTAAATTTAGTTTTAGAGGATTATGATAATTTGCACAATCAGTATAAAAAACGCTGGTTGTTTTTTTTAAATTGGTACATTTTTAATATTTCTCACTATTGCTTAAGTGTTATTGTACGACTAGTGTTAAAAAATATTATATACTATTAAAATCAAATAACAGTGAGCGTTCGCAGAAAGAATTTCAAGAATTTCGTAATGTGAGTTGTTGACCTTGTTTATTTGATTTAAAGGGCCTACGAGTCAATTTAGAGTAAGCAAAAGGAGGCAACAGCTGTTGCCCTTATTTTAAATTATTATTAATAGGTACCTTTGATCACATTTTTGTGCAACGCAATTATTTTTTTAATCTACTTTATTCACAACATTATTCAAATAATAACGGTAGTTTAGAAGTTTTGTCGTCGTCGTTAATCTTTGCTGTTTCTGTATTTTACTCTAAGATTATATCCACCTCCAGTGGTGGATTTGTAGTCTTGACCGCCCTAGGCTCCAGCCTATGTAGCTCCTAACCTAAGTTCCAGCCGCCCCTTTGTCAGCGCCCATCATATTATATCTTGTTATCATCAGTGAATTTTTTGTCACGGTTGGCCGTTTTTTGTTGACGTTCAATAAGAGCTTAAGTTAAGCCTATATTGAATAAAGATACTTTGACTAATGGGTAAAGGCCTCCTCTATACCTACAGAGGGTATCTGGGCATAGTCCACCACGCGTACCCACTGCGGATTGGCGGACTTCACACATCTTCTTATTATTTGAAAATATGCACGTTTCCTCACGATGTTTTCTTTCACCGCAGAGCACGTGATAACTTACCACTTAAAATTAAAAAAATAATTGGTGCCGGCACCGGGGATCGAACTCAGGTTGCTCGAGTATATTGAATTAAAGGTGAGCGCCCGGACTATAACAGCTCATTGTCCGGTTCAAAAACAGTTATCAACGCACAAAAAAAACTATGAAAGGCGAAGAACAAGATTACATAAAAATCTAAAAATGAGATTGAAAAGTAAAAAAAAAGAAGATATACCTACTTTATTTATCTTTAATAAATGAGCTTGTGAAGGTCATCTGCCAGTGTGCGAAGTGGCCAGTCGTCGCACAAAGGAGGTTATAACCTTTCCGCAGTTAAATGCATTACATTTCGCAATGTATCCACCGCACGTTCTCATAGATGCAGAACACATGTTAAAATTTGTTATTTCAGATGCATTCTTTTGACCGTTTCATGATATGTTTAATCGAAAGGTGGAAAACAAGTAATCAATATTTTACAAGCTTTTATTTAACCTGCAATATTTCTATGTATGTACGTCAGCGTCAAATCTTGCGACTGACATTTAAAGCAGTTATTCTCAACTCCATGAAGTTTTACACACTTTATTCACTATCCCAAATTAAGTTACAGCTGTAGATATGATAGATTATGTCGAGTGAAATCTCTAAATGTTTTCCTCCAAATCTGTCATCATTTTAAAACTGTCACAAGTGTCGTGGATTTTGGGTTGAATACATATATTTTACATGGACGAGTAATGGTCCGTTTGTTGGTGTCAGCGGTCGAGGCAACAGTAGCGGCTGTGTCCCGCCCTCCGTGACTAATCGCTATTGAACAATAGCGTGATGCTTGGACAGCGCGCTTGCCATTTGTTCAGAATTCTAGAACAGAACGCTCGCGGACATATGGGAAGGGACATCCATGCAAAATGAGATCGGCCCAACTTAAGCGGAAATGAAAGGGACATTTTTAAAGCAATGCTTTGTTTGCTTTAGAAACAAGAGCTAATTTGCTAAATAATTGTTTTCAAGTAGTATATAAAGAATAATACTGTATCTTAAAAACGAGCAATTCTGTAATTGTTTTATTTTTTTTTAAATTCCTTTTTTTGTGAAAAAATTGACTTCTTTTTTCGTGTGTATATGAAATTATGGAATAGTAATAACATTAAAACGAGTATTTCACCTCATTTGTGAAATTGATTTTGTGTGATAATTATGGAATCATCAAAACGATTTCACCTCATTTGTGACTTAGTAATAATGTTTACTTTCGTCCCAACGTATTAAGTAATAGGACTTTTCCTTAGTCCTGTTTTTTTGTTCATTGAACCGTTCTCGTTTTAATGAGACAGTGACGTCAATCTTAGTTTTACATATGTTGAAGTCTAATAAACGTATAATAAAGTTTATGAGAGCGTAAGCAAAGGAAACAACATTCATCAATTCCAACATTAGGGTCGAACGCAAATATCCCGGAGGGGCGGCGGTCGCATAATATACGTGAATTGTTGAATCGAATACAGCTTTTACTCGGATTGAAGTTTTATTGAGGAGAGATTTTATTATTATAGAAACTTACGACAGCGACCATCTGGCAATTGGCCGAAGTAAAAAAAAAAAAAACAATTCGACCTCATTTCTTGCCGTGATTTAAGCCAGTGGGTAAAAAAAAATATAGACAACACAAATATCGATAGTCTCTTATTGGAAATTTATTAACAACCAAAAGAAATATTCGTTTCATATAATCCTATACAACATTTTTTTAACGTACACTCAATTGTAAGAAGGTACATCTTTGGCAAGTCGTATTTAATTTAGTAGTGTTATAATACAGCCTCAAATATTGACCCGACAAGCTCCCAATAAATTCGTTGCAAACAATAATAGGACTGCCAATCACGCGTTACAATTAAGTAAAATATAAATACTAAAGATCTTTATCGCTTAAATTAATAGTGTTGAGAACAAATAAGTAAACTAAACATAATAATCGTGTCAAATCCAAAGATTTTTCACACAGGAAAAGTTCAACTGGTCAAATAGTAAAACAATTAAAATTTCTCTGAGATCACGGGCATTAAATAGATTAAGAAAGAGTTATTACAAAAAACATTAACCAGTTTCGATATAGATTATTAAAAGAAATAACTATTAAAAGAAAACACCAGCAGACATTTATGAACGATGAAGAAAATCTGAAACATCAGTTAGAATTCCTTATAGTTACAGTTATCACACACAGCTTCCGCTACCTGGCTATGATATGTCTTCTTGAGCTTCGAGCTACAACGGTAACAGAAAATAAAACTATTGAACAATTAAAAACTTTAACGTCGAACTACAAATTAATTGCATTTCCCTAAAATTATGTACATATAGCTGATTTTGCACTCGCAACAGATGCGCCTCATCAGACTTTGTGTTATGTAAGTAAAAATACTACATAACCTACACGATCTCACCACTCAATACTGATTAAACCTAATCGAATTCAGAAATTGTCGGTTTATACAATATGAAACGTAGACAATAAACAAATTCGTACACATTGTTTTGATTTTTTTTTTCTATCATATATTTGGCATGATTGTAATGGCTTATCTGTAAAGAAACTCTTTATGGAATGATCATAAAATTATGCTGAACATCGCGCGCAATCATTTGGACAATCTTTGGCACTAAAACCTTAATACTAGCATGAAGTCTTTTAGAACCAAAGACACGTACGTCACTAGTTGCATTGATTATATATTAGCTTAGAACTATTTAAAAACGAATTTAAGTCACAGAACATACGAGAGAGTACGACTAGGTGGTCATTTTCACTATCACCAATTGACTTAAAACAAGACCCTCAGAAGCCAATGCAGCAAATTTTCCACAATTTCTAAATATTCCCTTTAGTAATTAAAGGGACAACTAAGTCAATTGTCAGCCGAAGCTTTTCCAAATCACTTAGGAAGACAGCCACTTTCCTGTAACCTTCTGAACATGATATACGATGTCCGATTCAGGCCAACTTCGATCCTCGCTTCCTGGACCTAATATTAGTATATACCCACTGTATTAATTTTTTACTATTTTTCAAATTATCTTCGTCTTAATATTAGTCTTGTTAAATGGTGATTTGTGCTTTATGGTAGTAACTGTATCACGAATGATACCGTTACACGGTAAAACTCTTTATGAGTTTATGCTTGTATCGGTTTAATAAGTTTGTAATTTTCTTTTTTTTTATACAAATAAATTAAAAAAAAAAAAAAAAAAAACCGCATTGGCCTCTAAGGCTCAAACTGTTCAGTCGTAGGTGGTGAGCGAATGCACCTTGATCCCCGCCGTTATCACATTTGCAGCATCACCGAGAGCGATCTAGTTGAAAAACTCCACGCTTTGGTCCAACTGGCGTCTGGCGCCGGTCATACGAAGTCGTTCACTTCGTTCTGTAGAGGGCTCTCGGACTTGTCCACGCACTTCCTGATCGCGTCGAGGATCAGACCCACCCGTCGGTCTACCGCCGCTAGGTGGGGCTCCCACAGTATCGGGGAGACCGGGTCCGCCCTCATCGATTCGCGTAGAACTTTCGAGAGCGGTGTGCCATTGTTGAACCTGTTACCATGATAAATACATAAATGGATAGTTGTGTGTCGGTATTTGATTGTTTTATTTCTTTATGACTCCTTTTAAATGTAATGTAAAATTTCAAATGCGTGCTGTAGAGGCAGGAGGGTGACGGTTATTTTATCATTTATAAATGTAAATCTTATCCTTTAAATGAGCAATTCTTGTATATATATATATATATATATATATATATATATATAATCAGAATCTCGGAATCGGCTCCAGCGATTTTCATGAAATTTAGTATGTGCGTAGATTCGGGGGCGAAAAATCGATCTAGCTAGGTTTCATTTTTAGAAAATGTCCTTTTATCCGTTTTCAGGGAATGAAAAATATAATTCGAATATGACGGTAAATTTCGCCGCAAGAGAAAATGTCATAATAGCTCGGTCGGTAATCGGGCGGCCCCAAAACAGACGGCCGTGGTTCGCGTCACGATCATTTACACATTTTTTTTACTTTTTTTTCGATTCCAGATCATTGTTTTCTTTATTTTAAATTTTTCGTCGATTTGTTATTTTGTTATTTTTTCCCCTTTTTTTTTAAAGTTCTTTCTTTTGTGAAAAACACCATTTCATATTTTCTTATAACGTCCACGTCGGTAAGATCGAAACATATTATGCATATTTCATTACTTAGTAATTTGTATCTAAATGTAATTTCCAAAATACACGATTTACAATAAAAAAAAAAACAAACCCGTCCTCCGGGTACTTTATGTTTATGGACTCTAATGTCACCTGTTGTGAGGACTTCACCGTCAACAGAATTGTCTACACTTCTTTCTATTTCAAAAACAATCGCCTATTAAAATTAAAAATGTAGTTTTTATTTACGAGATGGAGTGTCTACTGAGTTTTGGTAATTTCAAACAAAACCGTTATCGCGAGTAGAAGGAACAAATAAAGAGAGATAAAAATAATATTAGTGTGATAAATATTGAGAAAGTTTCTACTGCAGAGAAGTGAGAGAAAACTAAAGTTGCATGGTTGCAAATCAAAATTTTCCATTTTAATCTTCGGACAGAGAACTTGTGTAATAACTATTATCATCAAGTGGCAGCTTACTTTTGGATACAGCTTAGGCTACATCGCGGATCTATCTCAATCTTCAACTGTGCGCATCCAGTTGTCACTAGCATGTTTTCCCAGATCGTAACTCCATCTAGCTAGTGGAAGTCCTACACAGAATTTATCTAGAACTCAGGCATGTTGTAGCGTCTGCGATGTTAAGATCAAGGACAGGGGAAGAAAGGAGAGAACAGAAGGGATTGATTCATATGAAGGCATGGAACTGTAGCCATGGCTTTAACCTTTGCCCTTGCCCTCGAATGACCTTCACGATAGTAGAAAGGGACTCACTTGAGTAGCGTGGTGAGGGTGGTGTGCCTTACGACGCAGCACTGCAGCAGTGGCGCCAATATGCTGAGCTCGTCGTGGAACGCCTTGCCGAACGCCCGCCCCTGATCCAAGTGCAGCGTGAACGTATCGTTGCCGAACATCCTGTAACGGACGGAGCGGACCATTTTGAATGAAGAACGCATCAGCGTTATATACTGTGTTAAATAACACTCTTTATGGCTTTGTAAAGCTAATATATAATATTTATGTTTTTGTCTGTGCACTTAAAACATCGCATAAGTTATCCGAAAATGTTTTTAAAACAGTTTCCTTTTAAGTTTAGGGACTAGTTATAAAAATAAAATTAATTATAAGACAATTCGTTTTACGTTTCGAGAATTTGTGTAAAGTTAAATATTTAACGGATTCGCGTACGAAGGGTGCTGTACCATTATCTATTAAAACGTATCATGTCTGTCGTATGTTTGAGCCCAACTTAAATGTTCTGTTTTTAGTATTTTTTGTTATAGCAGAAACATAAATACACCATCTGTGAAACTTCTTAATATCTAACTATCATGGTTCATGAGATACATACTGGTGACACGGACAGAAAGATAGAGCTTAAGAAAGAGCTCTCTTGCCACCTTCTCACATTAAAGGTAAAAAAAGGTATTAAGACATCAATTTAAATAATTTTATGATGTTTATTAATATAAAGGCTATAAATGTTTATTTTAAAATATCTCTTCTCTTCACGGTAAAAGTTTATTTTAGCATCTTTCCTGAATAAACGTCATTCTTCAAAAAAAAAAAAAAAACGCCGAGCTTTTGCTATACTTACTTGAACGTCTCGTAATGATGCCTGTCCATGTTGCCAGTAAGAAAATCAAAGATAGACATGTCCATTAAATCTAGCAAGCGTCGACCAGAGTCGTAAGGCGGAGTTGTGCGTACCTATCGATGAAAAATTTTAATAAAAAACATTGTATCTTTGTCCCTCTGTCAAGCCACTGATATCTGCAGATATTTATGGATGGTGGGTATCTGAATCATTATTGTGTATACTGTATACATGCTATATGAATTGCTTGCTACAAACATTTGAAATTTAGTTTTTTACCATAATATAGAATTTTAAAGCATTTTTATGAAATGAATATCTAAATATGAGATACATTGGACAGAATGTATATAATATATCCCATTGAGATTACACTAACATGAGATGGTAGAAGTTTTTTTCCCAGACTGACGTGCTTTTCTTCCCCCATTTTAAGAATTATTATTTTGTTACAACAAAAAATGCCTAAAATACTAAAAATTATCTAAGGTTACATAACAGTGTATTAAAATATTAATATTATTAACAAATTCACACTAAATATTCACCGTATCGCAATAATCTGATTGCAATTCCCATTGAGCTTTCCTTCGCTTATGGTAAGACCTTCTCCAGGGATGCCGCCATACCTGCAATAGTTCAAATACTTGAATACCCCTTTATAAATACTTCTTACTAAACATCAAATGGATCAAAACACATCTGTGTACTGTATATATTTATCAATGGATGTATCCATAATGTATAAGCTTGTTTCACAAGACGTAAAATCTCACCAGACCATGTGTTGAAAGGTATAGTAAGAAGTAAAGAAGAATGGCCAAGCATTAAGACCGCTTGCTGTTTCCTTAGTTTCCAAGGAAATGCAATAGTAAACAAATAAATAAACACAATTTTGCACTGACGTTTGTTTTTTCTCCATATTTAATGCTAAATTCTTTGTTTTGAATTATCAAGATAAAAAAATTGTAACGTATTTCCAATTGTTCCCATTGGTATCGGTTAAGTGGCACGTTACAACGTTAACGAAACAACGCTGCAGACCTTCCGTCCAGCCAGGTCGGACGATGGCAGAAACGCGGCGAAACTTCCCTCCAACATGTCGGGGTTGCCGCAGATGGCGTGGCCCGTGTCGCAATAGTACGAGCACTTCCCGTGGAAGCAGAAGTTATTGGCCGGCGACACGAAGAAGGTGCGCAGAATATCGCCCTCGGTGACGTCATAGATCTCCGTCGTCATGTTGAGCACGCGGCCGATGACCGGCATGGCGCGCCGGAACCCCAATATCCTGAATGAAAAAAAAAGTCACATAGTGTACGTCCGATACGTATTTAGGACATCATAACGCATTTCGTTTAGTTTACTGTGTTTAGTGCCATGCACCTGCTTTTGATGTTACACAGCCACCTGTGATCATCCGGAGAAATGCGGCTTCACAGAAAATGAGCACAAATAAGAACGCGAATCATTTGCGTTTCGTCTGATAACTAGAATCCAGTCCATAAAAGGATGACAACGCATCACCGAACCTACATCTGCAGATCGCACATTGAACAGGATTTTATCATGTGCAAAGTTGGGAAACCAGCTGGCGGTTCGCCTGATGGTAAGTGATTACCACCGCCTATTTAAAACATCTTACGGGTTGCAGATGCGTTGCCAACCATTAAAAGAGTGCGGTCCGGCTACCTCACTCACCAGACGAAACGCGAAAGTGTAATACTTCTGCTTCATGCCGGTCTTCTGTAAGGCCGGACGAGCCTGCACATTCGTACAACAGTAGAAACTACTGCGTAGCCCTACTACAGAAGACACGTTCTAGATGGTATACGACGTCCAACCAGAGGTCACAGACTTGGTTCTTTCCTTGAGTAGTCTCTCTTTCGTATGAGTAGTGGCAAATATTCACTTTACGTTATACGGATTCTTACCTGTCTAGATGAAAAGCGGCAATTTCAGCGTTATGCCTTTCGTAATCGGAGAAGTAAAAGTGGTTCGGCAGCGTTTGCACGTCGCGAGCGAATCTGCGAGCAAACCGTTGATTTATTATTGTCTTAAATCTACGTGACCTTCTGCATAAGTTCTGTTCGAATCAGGGCGTGTGAAGAGGCTGTCTGTTTGTGTGTCAATGTTTTGCATTAATATGAAGAATTTGTACTTTTTAGGGACACTTTTTATTGATTTACATTATTGCGAGCATTTAGTTATTTTATTAGAATTGAGCATTTATTTATTACGATGGCGTAGACAAAATCTTTGAATGGAAAATATACATTTTCGTTCAAAATAGGAATAGCACCTAATCGCATTATTTTATAATTTTTGAGGAGAAGGACCATTATGAATCGGCATAATATTTTTTTTGTATAGAGCATGAACTACTAACCCTGTCTAGTAGTATTTTAAGTTAAGGTATTGTAATTTATTTATACATAATATTAAATAATAGAACATCAGACAACATTCGAAATGACTTCATACTACGGCATCTTGTACACGTTGCGTATGTTTCAATTATTAATCCCCAATAGATACGTGCTTTAAATTTTATATAAAAATAACTATCATAGTTCGCTCGAAAGATCCTATACCTACTACCAAAAATTACATTACAACCGACAGCAAAATATATAAAATTAACGAAAATCAAATACTGAAAAGAATTCTGGCTGTATGGATCCCAAGTATAATGCCACAAGTATAATGTAATGAAGTAAAGGGTAACATAAAAGGAAAAAAAATCTTTTTTTTTTGGGCCGAAACCTTCGTGACTTCCGCAGTACAATTCACAGAAGTGACATGATAATTAATGTTTTTTTGAAGAAAACATGCGAACATTATTTTATTTACAAGATGAAAAAAGAAAGAGGTCAGTGCTCCCAACGCGGTTCTCCAGTTTCACTAGCTCATCATCATTATATTTGTTTTCAACGTATATTAGCGTAAATCGCTCCAGACACCACAAAGCGACCGCAAGCCATCATGATGGTAGATAAGGCACGACGTACCACCCTGGTAAGCGTCTGTGATCTTGAGATCTAAACGATATTTCAATGGCTTTCACTGATCTATTATGCTTTCGGGCTCGTCGACGGCGCGGTTATGGCTTGAGTATGTTAAAAGTGCGTAAAGAATAGACTTAATTTGAATGATTAAAATGAAACACTAAAGTGGATTCTATACAAATATGATGAAAGAAGTCGCTGAGTATCTTTAAATCACAGTTAAAAAGTATTTTTAAGTAGTTATTTTTGCTACGCATGTTTTTCAAAACGTTCAATAATATGTATGAAAGTTACAATGTTAGTTCTTTCAAAGGTATGCTCCTTAAAACATAACAAAACACACACGAAACGTAATAAAAACGAGCGTGCACCAAAAATTATTTCGGTTTTTGAGTTTGAAGTGCAGGATACATCTGATTCTCCTTTAATATTCGGTATATTGGTATACTGCCCCACACCTGTGCCGTCATTAGCTCGGTGAGCTATTTTTCTCAATCTTTTAAGAGATTAAAACCTCGAGGACAACGAGAATTTCCCTTTATGGCTGGCATTTTGGCATATTAAAAAATATGATGAAAGGAACACTAATTATCTTAACGACCGGTGTCCATTTTGAATGAAACGCGACCTGACGACCTTACCGCTATGGCTGCAGCAACCTTTCGTGTAATTTTTTAACGAAATAATAAAGAACTCACTGATAACAAAGAACAAGAAATTTGTATTGTCTATACGTTATAATTCATAAATAAAGGTAGACATTAAATTTGCTTACGTTATAGGCTATCTCTAATATTAAGCAATGTTTATAAATATTTTAGACGAAATATCTTATTTGGATAATCTAAATCATCTTTCAAATTGATTTTAAGTACTTAACAACAAACGGCATTTACACGTGAAATGAGTAGTTCCTAGCTTATTGAGAAATGATAATACAGTGATTGGTCATATGCCAACTTAAATACTTAAACTTACCGAAAAGTTACAAAGATGAAGCCAAGTTAAGCCCAGTTTTGTTTGGAAGTCTCATCGAAAACACGGATGTAAAAAATATCTATACATTTTCTCTATAGAAAGATTTCGTTAATTATTGTAACATTCAAAATAATTATTACTATACGCATCAATAACCAACATCTTCATTATCTTTTAGGCTCGATGTTACTTTTCCAAGAAGCCATAGTACCATTTGAGAAATTGAACACAAAATTTCGTTAAAAAAAACTGTATTTTGCAAGGTGGAGTATCTAACTAATTTAAAACTCTAAATAATTTAGGAAAAGTCGTAACATCAAGCGAACACTGGTACATTAACTCAGCAAAATATGAAATTCAATTCCCAGTTGATATCAATGACGAAAATTGAAACCTAGCGAAATAAATCCATAAAGCGATGTATCAAATAACCTCTCTGAGAGCAAGAGACCTCTGTCCCTTAAAATACAATTTACTTTAACTTGAATGACGCGTCCTCTAAGTACTCGGCCTCAAGTTACAAATTGCTAAGTCTATTACAACAATTGTAATTTTTTCCTAATTATTTAGGTAAAGTACCCAAACTCTTCATTGAGTAACATACTTACTTTATGGAAAAAATCTGATAGTTCATACTAAAGTATAACCGTTTAACCGATTTCATATGGGTGATATTTTCACTTATACAGTTTTAACACCCATCGAAGTTAATAATTATCAACACGCGAATAGATTTAAAAAATAATTAAATAATAATAAAACACTTAAGTATTGTAGTTACTTTTGAAGACGAACCTTTCTTTTTTTTTCTTTTAAAAAAAACCTTTCTTCGTTTTAACTTCATACCACATAGGTATATGTATTTCTTATACTAACCGGGTCATATGTAATACGTGTCTAGTGGGTTATCTAAACGCACCTCTAGATATTTCATACTCGGAATAAAGTTAACTTGCAAAAGATAAAGCTATCGAGCATCTCGCACGGGCAAGGGTTGCTATCGAGCGACTCTTTATTTATCGTCCCCTAGAGGGCTCTCCGAGACACGTCGGGTCTGTTGATATGTCGCCAGGATAACCCTTTCTGCAGTAAGTTCATTGGCGCGCTATAAAACAATACATCCCAGTTTTCGGCACAATAACAAAATTAGCCCAAGGAATCTAGGCTTTTGGCTTGCCTTCGAGCCTAGATAAAAACAATCCGTAATATAGGAAAACGAGAGATCACAAGCACAGTCGACGTTTAACAGTTCGAAATAAATAGATTCTTGTGTAATTCATTAATGTATCTTATATGGCGACCCGAATGGCGTAGTGGGTAGTGTACCTGCCTCCTGCGCCAGAGGGTGTGGGTTCGATCCCCACTACTGGAAAAATATTGTGTGATGAACAAAGTGTTTTTCTAGTGTCTGGGTGTTTATATAATTATGTATAATATGTATTTATTTACAAAAGATTGTATGTTTAAGTATGTTTATCAGTTTTCTAGTACCCATAGTACAAGCTTTGCTTAGTTTGGGACTAGAGAATGTTGTGTAAAAATGTGTCCTAAAACATATTTATTTATCTTAAGATTTAAAGAAACAATTTCTATTTGATTTATACGCTTTTATCCTATTATATGGAATTTTTATGAGGTGTATAAAACTGCTAAATTTGTTTTAGCGCCGCCTAATTTTCACAACACTACATTTTTTCTGTAATTCGCTATTAAATTATCAACTGTTTTAGTTTATGTTACACTGAATTTTTATGCTCTAAGTTAACTTTTATCTCTGATTGTAAGTGATCACCGCCGCCTTTGAAGTAAGAGTAGACATCCTTCCTGTGAGATCTCTTTCTGATTTTCTCTATCTTCTTTTAGTTTGATTATATCCCAACAAAGCACAATTGCATGATATTTATAGCTAGGGTCGGTCTATAAGTGAAAGAAATAAAGCAACAATGTTCAACAACAGGAAGAAAGAAACTTACAACTCGCTTCGATAACACTTGTAGAACTGTAGGAACCTATAAGCCGATCATGCGGGCGAGTGTTCCAGCAATTGAGTGAATGGAAGCAACGCACAACACTCGACTAGGTGGCGGAGGGAAACTTTGCTCAAGCCGTCCACGACAAAGCACTCGAACCACCTCTCGGAACTTACTAACTTAACAATGTATAAGTAAAGCGGAGAAGTACTCAAAGTAATGCGTATACATGTAACTGTTTCCAAAGTATTAGTAAAAACAGGTACAATAGTAAATGTTTCCCACCTCATGGGTTTGAAGAGTGCTTGAACGCCGTTCTGATAATCGATGATCAACTTTAGCTGGGTTCCGCCCTCTTTTTGTTCTGTAATAAAAACGAATGATTAACGTCATCAGCCATAAAAGCTTAGAAAGCTATGACTGCTTACGCATATACTCAGCAGAAATCCTTATATTTATAGGCAATACAATAAAATTAAAAAATGAGAACACAATTTTAACATTAATAAGAATACGTTCGATATGTTTGTAATATTTACAGCCCAGAAAAATTATTCACAAACATAACTCGAACTCTTACAAGTTACACACATTAAATAAAGATCGTTTCAATATATTAACACGATTCGAAGAATTAATAGAAAATTCATGACAAACTACAACATACTTATCCGGTATCGGAATATATGTACTGAAGCCAAAAACGTTTGCTCCAACTTTTTCCATATTGATCCATTTACGAGACCAAATAAGATAAGGGATATTGATTAAAACGATAGTAGAAAGAAATGTATGATCGTAGACACGAAGTCTCTAAACTTATATTGGTAGTTGAGATTATTTTAGTATGATTTTGTATCTCGTTCCGTCAAACTTTATCTTATCATATTAATTAGTTCATTGTTCTGTTGGATTAAATAAAATATGTTATTGCCTCTAAAATATATCAAAAAATACAGACAATTTTTTTCACTCCTTGTGTTCAAATATATAAAAGTAAGAATCTGAAATAACAGCACCACTATTTTTATAAAAGAGACCTAGTGTGACTCCGAGGATCGTTACTCATATAAAAGCAATAACTGCATTAAAAATGTTCAATTCGTATGATGAATGAAAAGAAAAGTGATTAGCGTAAAAAGCACGGTCGTGGGCTCACATATAAATAATAAAGGGCATGCTAAAGTCGTCCCTACAATGAAACCCATTTAAGTGATTTAAATATTTAAGTCCAATTCGAAGTAAAGGGCGAGATTGTTGTGGCACTATTGTCCAACGGACCGCTGGCTCCACAACTGATTGCAGACCCGACTTCATTTAATATACATACCCCTGTCTGCTTAAGCTTTTGAATACATGCAGATGCGCTAAGGATTGGGATGTATCTGATACGGAATGTATTTAGCCAGGTATGTCGCACTGATATAAGTTCTTAATGTCTATCTAAACCAAAGCAGTGGCAATCAAAGTTTACATCAGTTTATTTGTAAAAAACAGTCTTGTGTCGGTTTTACCGAGCAAAACTTTGTCACCTCTTGCAGATCACTGATCAGTTATAATTCCATTTTATTACCCTTAACAAGATTTTAGATGTAGCTGTTCAGAAAGCGTAATACAATGAATATTTTGTGAGTTTTGACATGCGCGATAGATCAGCAATATCAAATACAAAATTAGTTTTGTCATTGATAACAAAATACGTGACCAATATTGCTGATAAGATGTGAATAGCTGAGTAGATTCTGTTGTTATCGTTTATATGTCTGTAGATATTCCTAGATGTGTCTATTGTAAATTTGTCTATTCTATCATTACCATAACTATCATCATCCTATTATCTGTATATGATATAATATAGTTTAGTTACATTATTTAATTAATGTACTGACAAAAATAGATCCCATTACATCAACTATGTGTATTTAATACATACATTATTTGCATAAATTTGCAGGATTTAAAAAAAGGGGGATTCAATTCAGTTAAAAATTGGTAACCACTCTTAAAACACACGTAATGTAATGTATGTTGGAAGACCATGATTTTTACTCTTTGTTCCAGTTACGTAATACATACATAATTTTCTTCCCTTCCAAGAATTAAAATCCTTTACAAAAATATTCACCAAGTACGAAAATTGTCAACAACAAAAAGTTATGGGGTGAAAAGAATCACGTAGAAGGGCGATTATATGAATGAGACTTAGCGCTTCAGAGTATTTGCTCTTAGGAGAATTCACGTAATTAATGAAAAATAATTGTAAAATCTGTTCATAATGTTCATAAAACGGTTTATTCGGAAAACCTTTAAATATTGAACACTAAGTAAAAATAGAAAAATTATTGAAACGTAATGGTTTTAATAATTTTTCTATGCTACGATAAATTCAGTTTCACTTATGAAAACTACATAAAATTTACCTTATATTAAAAAAAATATATTCTTGGATTTGTTTTTAATTGAAATAATGTAACGATAATCTTAACTACTAGTTCCAGCGCTTTCGTCTACGTTGCTTATTACATTAACAATGTATGCAAAAAGCACACATTGCTTTTAAAAGGCGTCGTTTCTTAAAAATTATAACTTCGCCTTAAATAATATACAGATGTCACAATATTTATAAGAGCCTTGTAAGCCTGTAAGAATTAAAAATTTTCCGTGCTGCGCGTACTACGGCAGATTTAGAGCATCTCTATCATTTTATTCATTTAGATTTAGAAGTGTAGGTACTGTTTATTTAACTCGTTTACGTTTAAGAAAATACCCTTCCATCTTAATTAACCAACATAAAGTATACAAGAATAATCATAGATTATTAAAAAACAAGTTGTCATACAACAAAAACATAAATAAAAAGCCTAAAAAAATATTTGTGAGTTAACTTATTTAGGAAATTGATATTTAGTCCGAGGGATGAAAGCATATACTTACACGTATTTTAGAAAATAAAATTAAATAACTTTATTTTGTTTTTAGATTTTTTGTATCAAGACGATGTTATACCAAAATTTTCGAAAACGTTAAGACTAAAGTGAAAAACACAAACATTAGTTAGGGCATTAGTTAGGGCCACGCAACAGTTTTCGCTGTTGCATGAATGGGCAGGTCCGTCCGGGTAAGTCCACGTCCTCGCGGAAGACCAGCTTGGTATTGTGTACTACGAGGTAGCCGGGGCCAATTTTATTAAAAGGTGTTACAGATGTTGCAGATTTTTTACAACATTTTAGATTATACTTCTGTTCTGATTGAAACTTTCATTTACCTTTTACTGGTTAGACACATTTAAGGTAACACCATGCTCAAAGGCACAATCACTCAGCTGTTAGGTACAAATCATGGCAGGACAGCAGGACATGGCTTAATAATTACTGCAAGGGTACTGTAACTTTTGATCTACAAGATCGCTGTCATACAACCGAGACTTTACAAGCAAAAACTCTACGCCTCGGACCACCATTCACACCAGACATAGCGCCGCAAATATGCCAAAAGCTTTAGCTTTAGTAAAAATTTCAAAATCTCAATATGGGTTTAAAAAAAATGTGATAAGTGGTGGATAACCGAGGCACATAAAAAACTGAATTTTTTTATCTTGACTAAACTAATTTATATTGAGGTATATTCTAAGATATAGTTTATGATATTGGCTTAAATAAAATTAGTTCAACGAAGTAAAGCGCGTTTAGTTTCAACTTAAACGCGTCAGCCCAACCGGAATCTAAACTTCAAACGTCCAGAAGAAAGTTGTCAATTGCTACGGTTCGATTGTTTTTAAGGAAGCGCCATTAGTTTCAAATATTTTATTTAACCTGTCACGTTACTTACGAATATAATGTTAGCTTTTAACTATATTTGACATCTAAATGTCACCGGCGTAATACTAACCTGCGTGTAAAATAGGCAAAGTGGCCATGTCCTTCAGAACGGCGTCCACAAGGGTTCACCGTCTTCGTATAGCTCGTGCTGAGCTATCCTCAGTTGGAACTTCTCCAAATTGGACGCGTTCACGCTGAAAATTAAACAATCTCTTATTTTAAGCACGCGTCATCAATAACTGTTAATACCAATAAATGAACGTCACGAAAGCGTGTATGAAAGTGTAAAGTGTAAATGAACCTAGTACTTCATAAATTTATATAGAATTGTTGAATGATCTACATCTTTATAATTAAATAAAACATCTTAATGAAAATTTGTCCATTTTAAAAAATTTGTCCACCTCTTATATTAAAGTTATTTTTCTATCGACGCTCTGACTCTTAAAGTTGACTAAGGTTGACTTTGGTTAAAACATTTCTTTCGTATAAACTAATTGGGATACTGCTTGACGAAAGGTTTCCCGTTCCAAAAGGTTTTCTACTACTATTAGAAAACTTTGAGTATCATTTTTTAATTATGGAAAAATCATAAACAGATAAATGATCTCTGGGGAAGGCAGTTTTCAAGTTTCTTGGAAAAAGAACGGTCGCCGCAATAACTATGACCTAAAACCTTTCCTCTCGAGCACACAGATAAGAAACACCTCGAAACCGTGCCACTTCGGAAGAGGATGCGGAAAACATAGAAAACGATCGACATTCACCTACAAACAAAAAAACAATGCATTATTCAGCGCGCGCCGTGCAAAATTCGCTTTAAAATTTCCGCACACACACTAAGCCCGATCGCTAATGTCGAGATTTACATGGAAGATTCTCCAACGGGCGGCTTGTTGGTTTTGGCTGCGTGGTACATATAAGGCGACGTGATGTGCATGAGGAAGGTGCGAGGCTTCGAGCGGCGGCAAGCCCCAGAACTGAATACTAAGGAGCCAGCCGTGGCGTCCTCGATTTGCGGCGTGCTCCGATAACCTGCATTTAGAAACCATGCCGCCGGGCAAGGGTGCTATAAAATTTATCGACTCTCTTTCGGAGTGAATAGTGTGAATAGTCGACCATCAGTACAAAGCGGCATGGGACATGACGTGGCATTTACCAACGTCAATTAGTGCCCATTTAGCAGACGGTCTGCATTTAATCCGATCCATTGATTTGGACACTGTTCACGTTAACGTAAAATGTTTTATTCGTTGGTTTACGTATCATAATATAGAAACGTATTTATTACCGACTATTTACCGAATTACCATTATGAACAATTTTCACATTATTTTCAAGGACAAAAATTCAGTTTATATGGATAACAGAACAAAAGGGTCATATGTATATACTAAAATCATGTCTGATATATAAGACACAACCGTTTGCAGTTCAAAAAAAATCGTAAACCTGGACCATTTGGTATTCCTCAGTAGAAAATGAATGACTTTATCTAATATGAAATAAAAGTTGTTGTACTGACTATTCAGTCCATTCGCAAGCAACGGTTTGTTTCTATCCAATACTTTAACTAAATCAAACAATTTAACGTTCGTATTATCGAGCTGAATTTTTAGCACAAGGAACATAGGTACTTAATTAATTGAAGAGAAAGAAATTACACCTTTATTTCATACTACATTTTTATGTTTCATTCGAATACTTTCAATTACTATCGCTAAAGTAAAATTTAATGATGTAAGAGAATATAGTGCAAGCTATACGCCAAAAAATTATGTGTATATATGTGTGTAAGGCTCTCCATACTATATACGAATTTCAGCAATATGAGGGCCCGTCAAATCATAAGCGGTGTTTGAGGAAGCCTTCATGCATTCATTCCATTTAGTTTTATTGTCAAAAGGCCCGCGCCTATCTCGAAGCAGCGCGTAACTGGATTTTAAATAAGATTCCGCGCTGAGCCTGTGAAATTTGTTTTACAGGATAAAAAAGGTCGCCATATCTGCTACGTATGAAATCAGCCCGCTGTAGGAGAATAAAATGGTTATTTTTACGGTCCATTGTGAAAAGGAGCGCTATAAATAAGTGCAGGCCGGTTATGGTACGCTTTTTTTATTCCTGCGCCGCGTCCCTCCGAGATTTTGCCTAATATTTACGCTGGGGAAATTACGTTACTGCCATACCGACCAACTTGTTTGATTTTGTTGCATATTTCAACGCTCAGACCGGAACGGTGTTGCCAACGAAGGAGCATACGTTTAGGACACATTTTTCCACTTTTAATAACAGTTCGCAAACACAAGAAATTGATTGGGCGAGGTTTCATTTCTCCCGGGAGAATGATGTAAACTTTGGAAAAATTACTTCGACTTCTAGAGTTCGCATATACACTCACGTGAAAGTCATTCACGGATAATTATTACGAGATTTTCATTCAAAATTTTATAACATTCTTCAAAACAAAGTGGTCATTATTAAATTAAATATTTAAGCGGAATTAGGTCTGCTAATATTGCGACAAGGGCGGACTTAGCAATTTAAGTCACAGCTCGTAATATTCGCATTACCAAAGTTTAATTACGGTAATAACGAAGTGAGTAACAATTTAATTCGACGACTACATAAATTGTACTTGCGGATGTCAGCTGTCGGCAACTTTCAGCGAATTTTCCTTAATAATGTCCTTTCGGCGTCGTTTTTCGTTGAACAATTTTAATTAATATTCGAAGTTAACCGGCTTCCGGTGTTGCATAACGCTTTCGGGATCTGCACTTAAACAATACGGAGGTTTAAAACAAAATGTTGCGTTTGCCAGATGCCAGTTTTTTCGGCTAACAATTAGTTACTGAGCAATAAACATTATTGACGTCGTTCATGATTTTTTTATAGAAAACCGATAATATATACTAGTTTTAATTGTAAAACCTGTTTTAATCGCAGCTGGGAATTAATATATAAAAGTAAAATAAAATAACAGCATAATAATAGGTGTAGAGAACAAAATAATGGACCTATAATGAAACAGAAAACTTAAAGCTAGTTTGTCAAGCCAATGTTGATATTCGATGAATTTATCAAATCACGAATCTTTTATGTTATAATTTTAATTTTTATGGCCTCATCATTTAGACAGGGCATACTAAATAGTGATAAATATTCAGACCTTTGCTAAATATAGAACTACAGAGATTATTATAAATATCGATAATATCTAAAGGCTTCAAAAATTATGCGTTATAATTTATCCTTCTATAACTCTTCCCTTGTAAGTCAATTTTATAAAGTCACAGATATTATCTTTACTGTATAATAAAATCCCGTTTTCAACGCACATAGAAATTCAAAAGCGAGTGAAATGCTCACAAATGTCTCACCTCGGTTCCAGGTCCTCCATCTCCCCGATTGTTGGGTTTTCTGGGCGCAGTACGTTCAGGTCGTGATGCGGGGGAACCACCACCGGGTTGTCCTCCTCGCGCCCTTGCAGCTGGGCGTTCACTATCCTCAGCAGGTCCTCGTAGTGATCCAAAGGGGCAGCGGGGGTTCGGGGTTCCGCCTCCGCACCGCTGGTCTCACTAGGAGCCGACTGCTCGAACTCCCTTGAGCCGTTGCTGCCGTTACTGCGAAAGGAGAACGTAGTCAGTCTTACTCCAAAATGGTTTCTTACACTTACGCGTATACTTCCTCACTATGAGAACTGAGTTTTCCATGTGAGAAGTTGGTAAGCGAGCAGTCAGCTCACCTGATGTAAGCCGCTGGTTATGTACATCTACAAAATCTTTGGAGTAGCAGATGCGTTAACAACTTTAAAAGAATTGACAGACGAAACGCATAAGTATAAAACATTCACATCACAACAGTTTTCTTCGAGATTGTGGTAATTCCCCGGACTAGTCTGGCCATTGTTGAAACTACAAAAGCTACGTTAAAAGTAAAAGTATTTATACTATTGCGTTTCATCGTACTCCTGCTTACTGTTACTGACACCTGCAATATCTCTAGTTTTGATTATGGTCATAGGCTTGTACCTCGCTAACCTTATACATAAATCACTTTCTAAATTGTTACCGCTTTGAAATAAAAAAATATCGCAAGAATGCTGCAGAGTTTATTCCGTAATTTTGTTGGACACTCCTGATATTCATGGTTAAAGGACAGATGGATATGATGACTTTGTTGATGATGTTGTTTTGTTTATTTACTAAGAAAATATTATAATGTGCAATGGTAAAAAACAAAACACTAATCGGTGATAGCATGTGTCTGCAATTATGGATTAAAAAGTTTTATATTCAATTACTGGTATTACCAAGGTTTTACATTGGTGGTTTTCATGTGAAACTTATTGAGACACAGGTATTATTTCGTAGTGCGGTAGTCGTTAAAAATAATATAGCAAAACAAGAGGGCAAACAGTTTTGATGAAAGCAAACGATAACTGAAATGCTAATATGAGGACCATTCGAACTAAGGACATGTAAAAACAGTAAACCAATTAAATACATCGAGTAAAGATAGTATATTATTTATTCATGCTAAACGCTTCGAGTATTCTCACGAAATTATTGGAGTCCCGCCCTTAATAGGATTACGTACAAAATGTTCAATTTATTATTTCCGAAGTAGGACTTATTAGCATGAACGGCTTCGTTATAATTTAGTGAGAGAAAATAAACAAAGCAGTATTAGACTTTTGAGTGGATATCGATTTCCAACAGTAAAGTCTCCTTAACAGCACTTACATGGAACGAGCAAAATGGCGTAGAATATTCCACAGATAGAATTTATACTCGCCAACGATTTGAACACTTTACAAGTATACAATAATGGATGTAACAATCAAATTGCAAAAGGGGCTCCTTTTGTAATCGATTGTAATCCCACGACATTGTAATCTCAACATGGAAGTCGAATCGTGGGAGTTCTATGAACTTTTGTAACTAGGATAAAAGCCCCCTTTATATATAAATAAGCTTCTAAACTCTCCTAATTAAAACCATCCAATTTTGGATGTAATACTTCTTTTGGCGCGTTTGGAAAAAAATATAAATAAAAAATGATAATATTTTACGATACTACCAAGGCAACCAATAACATCTTTTTGACATTTACAAAAAATTCCAAGTTATTAAATAATACATAAAAGTATTAGAATAGGGGAAAATTCTTAGTTATTTTTTTTGTTACGCTAAAGAAGTATGATTTCATACATAAGTTTTACGGCCTGGCAACGTCTTATTATTTATAATCTTTTCAAATACCAGATTCTTATGACTTACGTTTTCATGAATGGATTCAGCTAATAACGTTACAGTTATAAAATTTTCAAAAATTTTCAAAATTTTTCAAAATTTTTTTAAAATTAAAGGTACCTTCCTAAATCCTAGTAAAAACCTTGACTCGTGGTTTGCTCAGAGTAAATGTTTACTACCTTATGTAAGCGATCCATGAAAAAATATCATGTTCATGCTTTTATCAAATAAGCGAATTTTTCATATAGTAAAGTGATCGGTCACCGAATGCTAATGTAACAATTTGTAAATAAGTATATTTTATCAATGAAAGGTATATTATTTTGAAGAATAACGTTCTTCAATCGACTTCGCTATATTTAATTTTAACAGATTGTTAATAGATGACAGTGGTAGGAACGCAACAGTCCTCGCTGTTGCACAAATGAGCAGGTCCATCCGGGTAAGTATTACGACATCACAGAAGGCCGGCGTGAGGCGAAAGTATTATTTTTAAAAAATAAAAAAATATCATGCATCTTTTATAAAAAATGTTTTTTTAATGAAAAAGTAACTTTATTCGAATAATCTTAAAAATCGTGAAACACGTTCATCAATAAATTTGATGAAATATTAGGGAAGTTAAAGAAAGATAAACATTTGGAAATAATATATGGGGATTTCTGGTGACTGTCAAAATTATTCATACGGTAGAGGGATACAGATATTTATTTAGCTAAGGGGCAAAAATGCTTCGCTGACTTAATGTTTAGTAAACCACACCTGGACATCTGAAACGTCGGAGTTGAAGATTCGTTGCCGGTTGTTAAAACCCCCGCGATCCATGCTTTAATCCCCAGTGTGTGCAGACGATTCGATTGACGTACTGGATAGTGTACCTATCTCTTGCGTCAGACGGTTCGGGTTCGATACCCACTACCGGATAATATTGTGTGACGAGCATAGTGCTTTTCTGGTTTATGTATGCTATATGTATTTGTGGATGATCATGGATGTCAATATGTGAAGTCCGCCAATCCGCAGTGGAGCCGCGTGATGAATATTTTTAAGTATATATCTTGTACCCATAAAGCTTGGCTTTGTTTGGGACTAGATGATGACGTGTTCAATATGATTTGAAATATTTTTTTCTGAAGTAAATAATATAAAGATAAAGTTAAAGGAAGGCAAAATAACAAATCAACATGCTAGCATGCGCAACTTACATCTAGATGATACACTTTCCTCCGAACACAAGCCGGATTTGCTCGAATCGAATGCGCATGCATCGCATTTCAATGTCCTCGCACACATCAAGGAATATTCCTTGACGCTCGCCTCAATACGATTCAAAAATGCGAAAGCACCGTGAATTTCATTCGTAAGAAAACAATGAAGCCAGGCGGGTCCTTGCCGCGAACGTATTCTTGAGATTTTCGCTCGCCGCCCCCATTGTGGAGGAGAGGCGCTAAGAATACGCGAGTATTGTTTTCTAGGTACGAAGGCATTGAGTGGCGAACTCGTATTACGTTTGCTTAATATATTTGCCCAGCCGAGGCGATGACAAATTAATTAATGTATTGTTCTACACAAAAGGCGTTCCATAATGTGTACACAGATATGTGTGCTTGTAAATGGAAAAAAAGACAATCGGAACGTTGACGTAGAATGCTTTTAGTATATTGAAATGGTATTGTTATTGCTTGGGGAAACTTTTTAACTTTTACGCCGTAAAAACAAACACTCCTTAATACGTCTCGAGAATATTAAAAAAACACTCGCGATATTGAAGTTTCTCATTATTTTGTATAATATAGTTACGCGATGAAGTTGTATTGGTATTGTATTAAAATGGCTCGCAACTTTACTTGAAAGCTTATAGCTTTCAAGTTGTTTTATAACAAATCTTATGGATTTTGTTTTTAAACCCACAATGTAAAAAGGAATCAACATTTATTTTGCCTATCCTCGGTCTCCCTCTACCTCTACCTATAAAGAGGTAAAGGATAGGGCTATGAACAGGGAAGGATGTAGGGCAGCGGTGCAGCATCCCAGTAGTTCAGCTGTGTAATACAGCTGAACTACTGGGATGCTGCACCGAAAAGAGCCTCGCTCTTAAGTTAAAGAAGAAGAGATGTAAAAAGAGGGATGTTATTAGTTTTACGTGTCTGTCTGTGTATCTGTGTTCCTACCTGTGGCACTTTCACAGCGGCATATGCGGTTTTTTCAAAAGCCGACTTGATCGAGATGGTTCATAGATATAATTTATGAAGATCTGTTCAGTTGTTTGAATAACCATCAGCTAATTTTCTACTTCACAAAAAGTGTGTTACTAACTTTCACAGACACGATGGATATGAAATTTGGTGTGATGTTACTTCGATGGTATTTTGATGCTAACCTTGAGCTGAGGCTGTAGCAAGAAATAGTCTGCGAGATCATCAATTCCTCAGAAACACACTGCAGATGTAGTGTGTTTAGGCTCATAAGAATAGTCTCAATGAGGTGGTGTTAAAAGATGATCGAGATCATATGGTTACCGTGGATATGCAAGCAAGCATGCAACAGGATTGCTGCCACGGCACCGGCGATGTTTTTTTACTTTTGAGAGTTTTGTTTTCTGTCGAGAGTTACTTAAAATTTTTAATCTTATAACATGTAGTATTAGCTAATGAACTTATACTCATTATTTTTGTTCCGTCTGTAACATTTAAGGTAATTTCAATATAAACCTCTATATTTTTACGAATATAAACGAGGAGTAACCTTAAAAGGTTGGTAGGGCAACGCACCAGTTTCAGCTGTTGCACGAATTGGCAGAAATTGAACAGAAACATTTGTAGAACTTGCTCTTTTTGCCGACGACACCTGTATCTATACCACAGGCAGAACGCCCGAATTGATCCATCGACGCCTCCAAGCTGCGGCCATCACCATCGGTGACTGGTTTCGGCAATGGAGGTACGAAATCAATGGCGCCAAAAGCGCGGCAGTCCTTTTCGCGCACAAAAAGAACATACCCATTCCACCCCCCGTTAAACTCTCTTGGACAGCCCAGTACCATGGGTTAATAAAGTCAAATATCTAGGCGTCGTCCTCGACTCCCAGCTTAAATTCACCCAGCACGTGACCCAGGTCAGGAACCGGGCGGCCTTCGTACTCGGTCGCCTCTACCCACTCCTCAATAAAACGTCAAAAATGTCCCTTCGGAACAAGGTGACCTTATATAAGGCAGTAGTTCGCCCTATCATGACGTACGCGAGCCCCGTCTTCGCTCACATTGCTCCGAAGCAAATACACCGGCTTCAGGTGATTCAAAATCGATTCTTGCGCAGAGCCACGGGAGCACCCTGGTTCATGCGCAATATCGACCTACATGTCGATCTAGAATTGCCCACCATCGCGCAATTCCTGAAGTCGGCGTCGCGCCGATATTTCGATTCCGCCGCCGCGCATCCCAACCCACTTATCGTAAGTGCCTTCACCTACAGGCCCTTGCCGCTAAATATTTTCCGCCGCGACTACCGAAGACTGCGTCACGTTCTCGACTTCCCTGACGATGAGACGACTATCGCCATCGAAAGGATCAAAAAACTCAAGAAACACACCAACACACACCGCACTCGCCGGCGAGTGCGGCAAACATATACTAGGTTCCGCCACGTACCTGGCAGGTTTTTCCCTATTAATGATAGAAGCGTTGCTGGAGTTTCTTCCGCCACTTCTTCTCCCAGCGCCAAAGCTCTCCGAAGTGGTAGTAATGTTAGCTCTAGTAATTCCCCCAGTCAGATAATAGCTACCGATCGAGCCGAGGTCCGGCCCTCTCGGGCACCCTCGAATCGGAATGCTAAACGCGTGCTGAGTGACAGCCCAAGCCGAGGTCCCCTCTCGGGGACCCTTGAGCCTGATCACTCCATGGAGCGTCCGCCAAAGCGCCCTAAGAGCTTAGCGGCCTCCCAAACCGGTAATAATAATAGCGTGACGGCCCGAGCCGAGGCTCCCCCGGGAGCCCTCGAGCTTAGTCACCATAACGCGTAATAATAATACGCCGAGGTTCAGGCAAGGCGCCTCGTGCGGCAGGCCACCTCAAGTCCGTCGGATCTGTAAAGGACCCTAAGGCCAACAGTGGCTCATCCAGCCCAAAAAAAAAAAATTGAACAGATTGTCGATAGATGAATGGGCAGGTCCATCTGGATAAGTACCACGATCTCACAGCTCTGCGTGAAATGGAAGTGTTATAATTCTGCATTTCGTCTGGTGAGTGAGGTAGCCGGGGCCCACTTTATTAAAAGGTGGCAACGCATCTGCACCCTACAAATTAACATCAGGTGAACCGCCAGCTTGCCACCTTCCCACATAAAAAAAGAATATTTGAAATTTTCAAAACAGGGCCACTGCGATAACCTTTTAGAACTTTATCAGGGTCGAATTGTAATTAAGGGCACATGCGCCTATCTCTACTTCAAGCATGAACCAAATTTATGAATAATTCCATCGTCTTTTATGTTTATTTAAGAAAAATTCGGCGATAGATCGCAAAAATTCCATTGTGTTTTGTTTGTATTAGAAAATTTCGGAATAGGGACAGAGCAACGAGCGTACTACAACTGCAGACTGGAAGTAAGCAGATGACGTCCCCTTAGTAGACGACACCATTTCATTATTAATTCCGTTACCCCCGAAAACATTTTTTACGATCTAGTAATTTCGAAAGAATGTCAAAGAAATCCGGTAATGTATAATTCGTCATAGTTATCTTAAGCTTTCACAAATATTTATCGAGTACGAGTACGAGTACGAGATTTGAACAATAGTGGATCTACAAGATAACAAATAATGACGGAATAATATTTCTTCTGAAAAAAATAGAACTACCAAAACAGATATCATAAAAACCCAAAAAAAAAAAATTATCTGTTATAGTTTTTTCCGATATTTATTACGTAACTCATCTCATTATCTTAGGCTTTATAAATACGTGTTTGTCATTAGATCCTCAAGCAAGTCTCTTCTGATCTCTGATTGATCATTGTACTCTTACTTCTCAAGAGAAGAATGGAAGTGGAAGATATTTAAACATTTTAAAATGTATGTACTTCAAACTTCGACGGACCGAAAGACTCGTATTTGAAAAGTTGATGAAATGATTTCTAGTTGTAGTGGTGGTTCTAATCCTTCTTAATATTGGGATGACAACATTTCCTTTGAGAATAATTTTTTTAACATGAATTAAAAACTCTTAATCTGTCAACTGGCAATCGAGATTGCCGATTAAATAGTCGAGACCTCGACATTGTCACACCGCCAGTATCGTTCAAGTATATGGTGGTTATTCACTATAATGTAACTTAACCAGCATTTATATATAAAAGAAATAAACTAAACATGGATAATCAGGTGTTCACTGAGATGATAAAATACTACATGCACTGAGATAATTTTCGATAATAATAATAGATTGGGCCGAAAGCTGATAAGTGCGAAAGGGCCGAAATTAGTCAAATGTTATCATTTCGAGTACCTGCACACAATAGTATGATAATGGACAGCAATTTAGTGTCTTTGTGCGATGGTAATTATAGTAGCCATAGTTTCGGTTAAACAATTTTAAAAAGTGAGTAAAATTTTAAAAAAAAAATACCAATCCGGAAGACGTGCGACGAAAAATTATATGTACATTTTTTCTAAAAAAAAAAATTAATTTTATAAAGTTTCAATTAAATAAAATTTCGAAACAAACTTGATACCGTTACATGTTTATAATAAAAATATTCTATTAAAAATATTTTCACAAAGTCTCTAAAGTAACCATATAAAAGCCATGTAAAATTAATATTGTTTAATGACCCACATATTATTAATGAGCATAAACAAACATCACGATATCAAATTTATATATATGACACCTAAAACAGAATGGTTTCTCCTCACGGGTACAGATACTATTGTTTACGGTCCGACGTTATAAGGAACAAAAAATTTCTCTGAATCATTGACAAGGGAAGGCAAGTTAAAAGTTCATTACAAATATAAATGGAAAGAGTTATTAAAAATCATTTAAAGGGTATAACATCTGTAACCTTCTAAACTTATTTCTTGTTTAAATTTATAAAGTTTTTTAACTATTAAGATTCCCCAATGGCAAACGTAAGAATGTAAAGTAAAAGAAAGTAAAAGCACTAATAAAGAGCAATAAAATCCATTCAATAGTTTTTTTAACAGAACTTGAAAATTTCAAGTGACGTCATAAATGTAAAAGGCTGTGAATACAATTAAAATAGAGTTTTTCTAATTTAATGTTTACGAACGAAACCAGAGAACGACCTTATCTCTCAAGACGCTGTCAAAGCAGTAAACACAGTGATAACGTCGTGAGATAACATTGTGCACATTAATAGTACAAATATTATAGTCTAAAGCACGTAAATAAATGTTGTTTTTAATTAGCGTGGACGAGAAGCGAATTATTCATTCATTTGCATAGAGAAATTAATAAATATATACAAATAATTTTAATAGATTCAAAGGTATTAGTTAATCGATTTGGTAATAAATTCCATTCATTGCAACTCACAGGGCTTCTTAACTAATCATTATTTAATTCTATATTTGGGTATCATTTTTAGACAGTAATTTTTTTATAAGATACTTGACGAAATCTGAAGATTATTGCAATCCAATGTGCTAAAAAATCCTCATATTTTACGACTGAAAAATATATCGATGATCATCACGATTTCATTGATTATAAACACTTAAATACCTCCCAAATACACGGTATAACGCAAGTTTAGCAAACGAGGACCGAGAAGCACACGCGACACACGGAAACCTTGGACCAGCTTACCTCTTCTGCAGGAACCGCTTCCTGAACTCGATGTAGGCCGACCTGCCTTTGTCCAGATCGTCGCCGATGCGGACGCGGCCGTGCAGCGGCACCCTGTGCCCGGAGATGCCGTAGTCCATCTGTATGTCGACGACGAGCATGAGCGTGAACAGCACGAGGAACGCGCTTATGGCCAGCGCGAGGCGCTCCTTGAGCTTCATGTTGAGCATGATGCGCGCGGTGCGGCGGCGCGGCGCGGCGGCACTGCGCCCTTCGCTACTCGGCTCCGGCGTCGGCGATCGCTTGCCGTCGCGCGCGCCGCGCCACCGCCGCCGCCAGCGCGCGCGCGCCCACCCGCTGACGCTGCAACAATGCCGCGATTAGCGTTCCATTTTTGAAATTGTTTTTTCTTTTTTGATTTTTTTTAAATAGTCACGACTTGTAGATGTGATAGGACAGTGGTTATAGAGCTTTGAATCATTCATACCGTTGGGAAATAAACATTTTATTTGCCCAAAGAACGGTTGTTCGATATTAATTTCATTGGTTTATTTTTAATTTTTCCTTTTTCAGGTGATGTTTCAAAATAAAAGCTTATTTAATTTCTGTATGTGCTTAAAATAAATCCACAAATTATTTTCAGTATTTGCTTTTATAACACAAACAGTTCATTTCATTTAATTAATGGTCCAACCTTAAAACAATGAAAGGAGGACTAATAGTTACTCGTAAGAGATTTGTTTGGTAAATAAACTTATTAAAATTTCAGAGCACTTATTGGTTACAATGCAAAATGAGGTCAAATTTAATGAACAAAACTTAATTGCACGCATTTCTACATCTTTTATTTTACTACATCAAAATCAATAATATACTGCTGTTACCAGTAGTTTCAAGTTAATAAAAATCTTAACGGTGGTAGGGCCTGTTACGACAACAACTACTACAGGGCTGTTGCACGAATGGGTACTTTCACGTTTCGTCGGGTGAGTGAGGTGGCCGGAGCCCAATTTCCAAAAGGTTGTCAACACATCTGGAACCCTCGAGTGTAGCAGATGTCCATGGGCGGCGGTATTCACTTAACATCAGGTGAACCGTCTGCTCGTTTGGCAAATTTTCACATAAAAAAAAGCTATACGAGTATTGGTCGTCGTTCAATCGTCGTATATGCTATAGGAATAGAAATATTTTGATAAAGCCATTTATTCATCGTTAAAAAAATTAAGTACTTATGTTCTATTCAAACACCTTATCAAGCTGTACTTGCTGGTAGCGAAACTGATATCACATATCACGTAAATACTCGTCGTTCGATGACTCCGTGGCGTAGTTGCCAAGGTATTGGCTTCGGCTTCGGCGTCGGGGGTCGTGGGTTCGATTCCCACACGGGACAACTATTTGTGTGACCCACAGATAATTGTTTCGCATCTGGGTGTTTGTCCGTGTGAAATTTATGTTTGTAAAATTCCCTTACAACACAGGATACTGTTATCCTAAAGTAAGGGCAATGTTTTTAAATTAAAAAAAAAAATACCTAAACGTTTAGGATCCGTAAATCGTTTTCTTAATCGGAAACATTAATAGTCTTAAATTAGAGAGAAACTAGTTGTGAGTAAAAACCATTGTAAATATTGTCTCAGTCTCAATCGTATAATAGATTAATATGGCAGTGACATAATGTTTTTTGAAGTTATACATCTTTTGACGCGTTAAAAAAATATGAGAGTAAAATTTGTACGATGACAATCTGATGAATTTTACTGTCATAATTTTTTTAAAACGTGCCCAAATAAGTTACTAACGTATACTTCTTAATAAAACTTCTAAAATACAATAATCTAATCAAATCTAATTTGAAATAAATTTGAATTAGTCGAAAAGATAGTTACGGCCACGAGGCCGTTTTTGTTGCCCAAATGGGCAAGTTCGTAAGGCATGAAGTGGATGTAATATACTTTCTGGTGACGTAATAACGGCAGCTCCTTTAAAAATTGGCAAAACTTCTGCAACAGCACGGCGTTTAAGATGTTCATAAACCATTTTCTCAAATGAAAGAAACGCAAGATAAGAAATACCTAAGTAAGTAGTCTATCTTTACACCGGATACACGATTATCTTTACCTAAAAATACAATAAATTATATCAGATCGCAAGTCCTTTTGTTGGTAGATAATGATCACTCGAGGCAGTTATAATGTCAGGATACGCGATATATGATAGATGGAGAGATAAGAAGATAAAGCGTTCATAGCTATGTGATTGAACATGGAATATGCCGGCGTGGAACAGTAAAGTTTATACTTTGGCGTTACCTGCGGGAAGTGAGGTAGCCGGTGGCCCCTACTTTGGCGCATGCCTGCAACATCTCTGGCTTGTGAGTATCATGAGACGAACAGACTACTCGAAAGCCATAAGATATTTTAAAAAAGCTGGCCGGTTTATTCTAAGTGCCTGAATGACTGAGATTTGCTCGGATTTTTTCTGACAAAAGAAGGAAATTTACCTTTGTATTCTAATGATATTTTAGCAGTTTTTCTTTGCCTGAAAACACGAATAAAACGTCGTCTTCTAGAAATGAAACCTAGCTAGAGCGATCTATCGCCACCGAAACCTCCTGCGCACTGAATGTCATGAAAATCCGTAAATAGAGCCGTTTCAGAGATTCAGATTATATATACCGGAATTGCTCGTTTAAAAGTATTATATTATTAGATAGATTTATAATTACGTATTGAGTTCAATGAATTAAAACCAGCTAAAATAACATGCATGCGTGATTCTTTAATGAAAAAATAAATATGAAAAGAAAAAGGTCAACGTCAACTGTAACGTATGTAAAGTATGTAGGGAAAAACGGACAAATGGATACATTTTCCTCGCCGCCAATTAGACAAACACTCGTCCGCCTCATAATCATGTTTCTTTTTTCAAGTTCCTTAAACTTAAGACCCTTTTACACTTCTACAATCTTTAAAAATGGAACTCCTAAAGGGATCAATTTCAAACTTACGTTTACATAATAATATTGATTTAGTTTCTAAATCAATACAATCACAAGACACGACCATTTATGTCATATAGTCACTTTAACAATAAAATTAATGGAAAATCTCCCAAACATTGTCGATAATTTAAAACAAGAAGATGTAATTCTTTTCTTAGAATTCATTTCATTATACCCTTGAGACGTGCACTTAACAAGCACTTCAGACGTATTTAGCTGTTAATGAAGTTAAGCAGTTCCATTTTTTTAACTCTTATTTACTAAAATAGGGATTGCTTGTTTCATCTAAAGAGAAACCAATCACGATCAAATTAATTTAGAATTTTCAGAGTGAACTCGAATTAGAGACGTTCGTATTCAGAGGTTAACTCATTTACCTGTCCACATGTACGATATCCAGTTGTAAGCTCTATCATATCTTTTAAAAAAATACATAACATCGATAAAACTTGGGATATAACATCAAGACGACTTTAAAGACTTTTTTTAATGTGGTATAACTAAATCTATGTGATTTCTGAAGAGTAGATAGTTAAACATTCGGGATTACTGATGCGGTCCCAACTTTTAAGATAGTGAGATTATGTTACACGTCAAATGATAAACAAAAGCATGAAGAATTCTATTAAAAACCGGCCTTCTGTGAGATCGTAGCACTTATCTGGTCGAAGCTACGCGTTCATGAAACAATCTAGTAAATAACGTTACAAGATATGTAAGAATCAATTTATTTCACCCACAACTTAAATAAGTTACTAGATTTCTGTTGGCAATACCTACAATGAACTTTCCAATGAAAGGATACCTATTTCTAACGATGTTCGTATTAAATATAATTCCAAGTACCAATGGCACGGTTTCGACGAATGTTGATGTCACCGGATATGCAACGATGCAAAACTGCTGTTTTACTTACGTGTCATACCATGTTCTTGAATTACTACTATACCTATTTGACCTATGTTGTTCGTCTCATTGTTTTCTTTCAGTTTTTATTTTCATTCTTCTGATCAGAATGTATAGCTATATAGGTATAGCTTATAGAATAGCGCGCTCTGGTTTAGAATATACTGATCCTCAATACGTGTGGTTAGCTGGTACGCGTAACATTCGGACAGAAAGACAGATATACATGAAATATGTATATAAATTATAGGCTACGTCTTATTCTGATGTATAAGCTATATTATTGTAAAGTTTCATTAAAATTCAATAGTATTTACGTGAAAGAGTAACAAACATCCATCCATACATACAAACTTTCGCCTTTATAATATTAGTAAGGATTACAATAGGGCCTGCTACATGATTGGCTGTCCAATCCTGTCGTGGTACTTCCCCGGATGAGTCTGTACTCGTATATAGGCTCATAATTGAATCCTCATAGAGGACCTGGCTGGTATGATATTACAAAGTTTTACTGCACTTCTGTCCAATTCTGTCGTGGTACTTTCCCGGACGAGTCTGTACTCGTACCAGATCCTCACATAGCACCGGCGGGAAGTGAAAGTTTTATACTTCTTTATTTTGTCGGTTAGTCGGGGTCCACTTTAGTAAACGGTGGCAAAGCATCTGTATTTCCTCCGGTGTTGCAGATGTCCTTAAAGGTGATATTAACATAACATCAAAGTGTTATGTGAACCCGTTCTTTTTCTAATATTTCGCATAGAAAACTACAAGATAGTGTAATAGAGTTGTTCTTCTGAGATTTTTAGGAAGGAGAATAACGACTTATGCCCGTTTACACCTAAAGTATTAAGCGGGACACTTAAGCGGCGGTGGAAATGAAACTGGCACGTAATTTTTTTAAATTAAATTTTTTGTTAAGTTTTTTGTTTCCCTTAAAGTTAGGGATCGATAGAGAAGGGGACCATTAGTTTCCTAATGTACTACTTCACGCAGACTTATATATGTTCGCAACAGCAGAGGAGTTGTCAAAACGTTGCCAAAGTTTATCGTAAGAATGAATTCCCTACTAAGGCTGGCAGGGTCTCATTCTTCAGTATCTAAGACTCTATAGACACCTGATCTAAAAAAGCGGGCGAGCGCACAAGAAAACTTCGTAGATCAAAGACTCGAATTTAGGTAATTCCAACCTTAGGTTTTCCTAAATTTCATAATATCCGAAGCTAAAAATCCAAAAATATATATAATAATCGTAAATTAGTAACTATAACAGTTGCGGAATGTTTTTCATCAGAACCATAAAATAATTAATGCTAAACTAAGAAAAAACTAAAGTCCATCAATCATCATATACGACATTATCGCGTAGACCGCAGTGGAGCGAACTCAATGTCAACAAAATAAAAGGTAGCACACCTTTCTCAGCAAACCTATGATGGTCGCGTCACGTATCAGCTTTTGCGCTGTACAAGCAATTTTTAAAACAATATTAGCAAGTGAACAAAGCTATTGAATTTCAACGAATTGAAATTCAAATAAAGGCTGCAACATATTTGGCAGCAATTACATCAAAATAAAACTTAATTATTACAGCTTCGGTTGCACGAATGGGCAGGTCGGTCCGGGTAAGTACCACGACGTCACTGAAGGCCGGTGTGAAGTGGAAGTGTAATACTACTGCATTTCGCCTGGTGAGTGACGTAGCAGGGGGCGACTTTATAAAAAGGTGCCAACGCCCCTGTAACCCTACGGGTGTTGCAAAATGGGTGGTGGTACCACTTAACATCAGGTGAACTGTCAGTTCGCTTGCCAATTTCTCACATTAAAAAGTAAATGTACGTAATTATTACAGGGTAGCTCACGTGACTAGTACGTCGGACTTATGTTATTATGTTTACAAACAAGGTTGAATTCCAGTGGGCTTGTGTCCGAACGGTCACCTGTTACGGTAAGGACTTTTTATTTTCGTTTACCTTATGTAACTTTTCATTTTTGTCTTTGTTAGTCGAACGCTGGTCTTTTAACAACTTCTAAAGTCATATGATTCTAAATTCATGAAAAAATCCTAAAAAGCAAGAAATAGAGATAAAATATTTTAAATAACATGTAATATTTTATATCATTTCATGGAATATTTTCAACAAACAGAACGAAAGCGGTATATAAAAAATAAATTTCCCTCAATTAACCCCCTACGAATCCCCCTAATCCCTTCTTTTAACTATTTAAAAATATATTTAGTCCTTTTTAATTATACGCCTTTTAATAAATTATAAGAATGCAACAGTGTAATAATATGACACGAATATTACCACTGTATAGATCTCGATAAAATTACTAAATATGCATAAATAATAGTGGGCACAAAGTTTTACGCGTGCCAGGCCTGTTATGATAAGTTTGTCACGCGCAAATATGATGCTATTGCTAAGGATTAAAGAGTAAATGTATTAGTTGCGTACATCAAGTATATTATTTTGATTTCATATAATAGGTATATTTATTATGAACTAGTGGACGCCGAATGGTCGTAATTCGACCGTAAATAATTTAAGTTTGAACAATATTAATCTATTCTCAAATACAATACACAATAAACAAAAGAGTATATATGCGTGTGTGTCAAATACATAGTAGTGTGTGTAATGTTTTCTATATGGATTTAATTGTATTTGTATAAAAAAATATTAGCATTCCGTTTGTCCAGTCGCAATTTTCTTAAAAATGGGTACAAAGTTTTTGCTTCGCGTATTTAGCGAATTCGATAATAATAACATAATGTAGTAGCTGAACCCGGCAACGCTTCGCTATGGTAGTTTCCGTTGGAATTTCGGGATAAAAAGTGTATAAAACAATCTCCTGTCCAATAGCAATCTTGTGAACAAATATGAAGTCAATCCTACGGATTTTTTACACACAGACATTGCCATGTGCTTTAATATTATGGCAATATAACAATTTTGTATACAATACAGTCTTTAATACCTTTTTAAAACACGAAAGTTACCAATATTGATATAAGTTATGAAATTTTATTTCCATTAATAAGAAGTGAAGTGCAGTTGCATAATTACTTAATATAAGAAGTTTATCGATTTTGTGGACGCTATTACTTATCGATGGTAAAGTATGGATAATTACTAGTTTTTTTTATCGAGGTATCAATTGATTAGTGATTGGTACTTGATAAACTTGAGTTCAAATACTGACGCCGGCACCAACGAAATTGTTGCAATATAAGTTCTGATTTATCATACATCGACGATGTATCAAAACATCCTGGCGTATATCCAGTAAACAATTCGAAGATATGCAAAGTCCACCAATCTGCAATGGGCTTTCAATACAATTAAATAAAATTATTTTCTAAATAAATATATTTTATACGAGCTTATACCCGCGACTTTGTCTATGATGTATATAATATTATATAATATTCTATGATGTATATACTC